TCCACCGTTGCGCCGTGGCCTCCGCTGTTTTTTTTCGCTGATATTGGTGCTGTTGCTGGTGGTACTGTGTCCGAAACGGTGTCGATGCGCTTTACCGCACAAAGATGGATGTGCACTTGCCTATATTTAACCACCGATCAATTTCTTCTATCGCTTGTCTTCTTATTTGCTTCGTTGATGTAACCAGAGTCGTATCATTGAACCGCTTTCGTGTTCCGCAAATAAAGCAGTTGTGTCTACCAAACCGCATTTAGTTCACTACGTGTCGCCACAACAAAATTTAGTGCAAATTGAATCAGTTTTTATTGTGGCTAATCTTGGATGTGCATCTCATTTGCTCAGTGAGTGCAGTATTGTTGAAACCAGATATTATTTTCTTCACTTTAAGCACCGTTGTTTTGGCGTAAAGCGAACAATGTTTCAATTTAAATGAATGAAAGTAGGCAATGATATGGTGCTGAGGCATTTGTTGTGTGCCGCCAGATATATGATCTTGTACTCGACAAAATAAATTCATGTCTGAATGCCAACTAAAAAAAAAAAATTTAGAGTTCTAGGCCTTTCGACATAACGTTTTACAGGCATTTTTCGGTGCACCGTTTATGATTTATGTGCAAGTTTAAACAGCTCCGTGAAAATTGTACATGACGTGAGAAAAACCCAAATTTCTCCACACCAAACCATCATACGGCAATTACTGCCCCATTCAATCATTCACGAAGTTATTTTCGGTCCATTATGTTGTTTTGTGTTTTAGAGCTTTTCATAAATTAACACAAACATGTGATCATGCTGATAAAGTGGCTACAAATCAAAATTATTCTTAAGTAGTCGAAAATTGTGTTCATGAAGAGTATAATATAAAAAAAAGACTGCCACACGGCGAAAAGCACTCAAAGAATGCGAACAGAGTGATCAGCAAAGATAGAGAGCGAGAGCGAGAGAGAGGGAATAACAGCACCAAGTAATTTAGCGTATTATACGCCACTCTGAAATGATGCATGATTTTTGTGTCTTTTTCGTTTTCCGCTTTTTATTCGTCGTACACACATAAATTTCAACAAGTCCATTTGCTGCTGCCCCGAACTGAGATTGTACTTACTGTCGTCTCGTAGATAGTTTTAGGCCGGCAACCGACTAATATTTTAATACACATATTTTCACACAGAATCACAAATTCAAAATATTCAAGCGTCTGACCGTCGTCATGTCGGTGAGTTCACGCCATGAGTCGTGGACAGTATATGTGTGTGCATGTGTGTGGCGACAAGTCTTTTCTTTTCATTTTTTTGCTCTCTCTCTCTCTCTCTCTCTCTCTCTCTCTCTCTCTCTCTCTCTCTTCCATTTATTACAGCTATTACTATTACCAGATCATTATTATTGTAGATACAACATGCATGCGTCGTGAGGGTAATTGATGAATTGAAGGTGAAGGGAATGAAAGTAAAATCAAAACCTTAAGCTTAAGAATAATACATAAATTCGAAACGACATTGTGAAACTTTCATCTGAAGAGGCATTTCATTACACGTCGTGAGATGCTTGTACATTTATACGAGCACATTGGAAACGATTAGACTCAACGTACTACATATATGCACATTTATGAGAAGAATATAATGCGGCATTAGCAGAGCACCGCTCAGCCAGTCAGACAATGAATGAAAAGAGAAAAAAAAACACAACAACAACAACAACCACCAACCAAAGTGTACAGTGGAAGAAGAAGAAGAAGAAGAAGAAGAAGAAGAAAAAAATCATACGCCAAACAAAGCAACGCGAAGAAAAAACAACAACATACATATACCTATTGCTATTCCATCGCAATGTCGGTGTACAGCGTTGAATACAATGTTCAATTTAACAGCTATGATACACGCTCACGATATTGAATATACTTGAACCAAATCTGTCGTGGTTTTGGCTGCTGCTGCAGCAGTTTGTCTATCTCAAAATGGAATTTTTGTCATAGATCGCTATTAGCTACAGAAGTTAACTATCGAACGGTCGATTTACAGATATACACGATGCATGATCATTGTTCGAATAGGGATAACAGCTATAACAACAACAAAAAATTGTGTAGTCAGAAGAAAACGAAACGAGCGAATGAACTAAAAAAACGATGTTTCGATTTCATGCCAGCGGCGAATTCAGAATTCGGTGAAACCAATGGAAAAGCTTAATTGATGTCAATTTGCTGCATGCCTCGCACAGCGCGCTATCCACATCGATTTAAACCACAACAAAGAAAAAAAAAACAGTTACCAAAATCCATACCGTATCCAAAACATTGACAAAATTGACAAAAAAAAAAGAAACCAACGTTAGAGTAAAACAAAAATTGAACGTGATGAAAAACCAAGCGATTCTTTTTACATTCGCCGATAGTTATCAGCGGTCGATTTATGACTCACATAAAATAATTAAGATTGAAAGAAAACACGCACGCGCACGCGCACAACCAAAACCCAACATGGTACACAGCATCATAGAAAATCATAACATGTGTACTGATTGCAACATATTACTCTCGGCTTTCATGGCAGCATGTAAATCGATCGAAAATTTCAATTTTCTTTCTCTTCTTCAACCGTGCTTTTTTTGTATTCCTCTGTTTTCCATTCATTAGCTGAAAAATTAAATGAAAAGCGAAAATAAAAGTGAATGAGAAAAGAATGCGATTTCTTATGACTACATACAGAAAAATTAATACGGTTAAGGTGTGAGTGTGTGTGCGCGCGCGCGCGCGCTGGTTCTCATCAAAGTCGTTTCGAAAATGATTGCCACATTGTTCTAGGTGTAAATTGCGTTTAATTTACCTAATAATGCACGTTCAAAAGGCAACGTGACAGCTACATTGTTTCCAAAAATGGAAATGTAATGCATATTGAATCATGCCCACCTCGTGAATAGCCAGAAAAAATGTGAGATTTTAAAAAAACGATGGCATTGATTGCGAAACAGATTTCGGAAAGAATGCATACACTTACGGCACCATTTAACACGTACTATAAATTCTTTGGTGAATTTTTTCGTTTTTTTGTTTTACTACATTGTTTTGCCCAGCAGCAACAGTAGAGGAGGGGCAGTGGAACATGAAATTCCGAAAAACAAGATGATGATGATGACGACGATGTTTTTTTTTTTTTGCTTTCAATTTCATGAATTCAATAAGTGATTTCGTCCGAAGCATACGAGCAAAAAGAAGAAAAAAAACGACGCCCGAATTGTGTTTCTTTTCTTTTTTATTTCATTTCGGTTGGATCTTTGCTCACTCTCGCAATCAGAATGAATTTTTTTTAAAGAAAGTGAAATTGGCTACACAGCAACCACATTTACAATGGCATCGCAACCGAGACTCGAACACGTTTCATTTATATACATATAATATATTTTCTTAATTTACCTCTCGATCGATGATTACATGCTATGTTTGTAATGCGTGCGTGTGCGAGCGAGCGAGCAAGCGAGCATTCCACTCATTTACAAAGAAGATTAACTATATTATCAACAAAAATCCATAACATGAAATCGTAAAAGTGTGTTCATTCAAAAAAATCAATTTTTGTCGACATGAAACAATCGGCATTTCAATTTTTTCTTCTCCCAAACAAAATGATACGGTTTAATGAATGATCGCTTTTTAACATTTCAATGGCCATTATCAATGGGCATCGAAATTCGTTTTGCACCTCAATTTCATAAACAGATTTTTTTTCTTTCCGGTCACAATGAGACCCGAATATTGTTTCTTTTGCATACATCAAATACATATATACTGCGGCTATCGATGCGGACAGTAAGCATAATAGCATCATGGCACCAACAATAACAATAGACTCACGAAAAAGAAACGACGAAAAAATGGCGTTTACGTTGCTGTATCGTTGTTCAGTATGATAAAAGCCCATAAAAAAATGAAATAACAAACACAGCTTGAAAATACCGAATGAAAGAAAATGGTTTTGTTTGTATGTTTTTGTGTGTGTGTGTGTGTGTGTATGTGTATGCGGTTTCTCAATAAAAGATTCAAACTTTCTGAATCGTAAATTTAAAGATAATTGATTTGCTAAAGTTATATCTACAGCGGCAACAACAACAACAGCAGCCAGCGTTTGCAATGCTAGCGATCACAAATGTATAAAATAAAGTATGTTAATAATCAGTTAACTCGTACAGATTTGTAAAAAAACAAATCTCTCTTTCATGCCGTATTGTGTTGATGCGTTGAATGGAAAACAAAGCAGCCCAGACCAAAAGCGCCAAGTATTTGAGTAGTGCGAATGCACAACATGAGCGCATGAATACGAAACTATACACCATAAAAAATAATTCAACTGAAAAATATTAAATTATTTGTTTTTGTTGTTTTCATTTCGATCTCTTTGCAAGCACCTGATCTACTCGGAAAAATACAGCAATCAGCACAATCGGAGGAGAGTATGGTGGCTGCTTTGCGCTATCTTCTATATGTTTTGTGCTTGCGATCTTTTCCACCATACCGTTTGTTTGCTTTTTTTTCGCTTTCTGGCTACGATAGTTCATCATTATTCTAGCGTTCAGATATTTTTAGTTGACGCTTTTTCTACTGCCGTTTCTGCTGCTACCTAAAATGATTGTAACACTTATCGATATTTTGCCGACCGCGCTCCGTCTAAACAATACGTGAATATGTGGGTTAGAAGGGCATTTAACGGTCAAAAACCTCTGCGCAAATCACTTTTATCTTCAAAATGTCGATATTCCATCCGGTTTCGAGCGCACAGTTTCAGTTTTCTCTTATTACATCTTCACGTTTGCCATATATTCTGCGATGCATATCTTGTGACGCACTTGTAACTCAATTTATGTGTTCACTGCTTATATCCATGTTGCATGCGCAACTCGCTTCTGATAGATAGACAGATCATTTATCAATGATTATTATGAATTCCCTCGTGACTTAATTACCTCGTGATTAACGGCGATTAACTTGATAATTTCCTTCTTCTTTTTTTTCTTTCTATTTTCCAGATCTATGAGCACTTAAATGATGGCGATTCATTCAACGATCAGCCCGAAAGTCTTAATTTTTAGTTTAGTTTTTTGTTCGATCACACTGAGGACCACAGCCGAAGAGAAGCGATGGTCTAGACAAATATCGAATGCTGGTTTCCTAAACGATTGGATTCCCGTTCAGCCGCAGGCACAACCGCAACCTAGACAAACAAATGGACGTGTATTGAACTTTGGTCCACCATTCGCACAGAATGAATTCAATCAGCAACAGCCATCGGTCGGATCGACCACAACCAATTTGGGTGAACCATTCCAACGGATTTTCTTGCAGCAAATGCATCCACCCAATTTGCCTATTCTGCCACAGAATCAGCAACAATTGCATGTGAGCAATTTCCAATCGACACCATTCCGTCTTCACAATGAAATGCAATTGAATGCCGGCCCATTAAACACTGGACCACAACATTTCCTGTTGCAACATCCACAGCCCGAATTGCCCACACCACAGTTCAGATATCCACAATTCAATCCACAAACCAAACCAGATTTCGTGCGTAATGGTGATTCTAGTCTTCAACCACCACAAACACAGCAGTTAATTCAAAGCGAACCGCCACAACTGAAAACCAACGGTTTGGAAAATCAACAGCCAAGCCTCGAAATGCAAGTACCACCACAAGAAGAAGTACAACTTTTGTATGTTCCATTGGATACTTTGTATCATCAGCAGCAAGAAAAACTTCAACAAAATACGCGATACAATATTTTACCATCGCCAGTAAATCCATTGGCAATCAACAACTTTTATACGCATCATCAAAAATTCCCAGCCACAACTGTCACACCAACCGGTACACCATTCAAAATTACGACTCCACCTGCAGCCAAACTGAGAACAACCACATCGAAGCCCGTTCATCGATTTTCATTCAATACAGTAACCGAAAGCCCAAAACCAAAATCACATCAACCCCCATTGGCCATGTTCATGCGGAACAGTCTATCAGTCGCAAACAGCCCATCAGTGAATGATGTGTTGTCGCATTTGGTGTTCTCACGTTCGATCGATGTCATTGATGCGGTAGGCGGCAATGCACCAAACATTTTCATCGGTCCGTACGGTCTCAATACACCAGATGGCTATTCGAAATTCGAATTACCATACTTGTCAGCACTCGAACAAACTCGCTCTGACCGACAAATCAATATGTTACCATTCTTCGTAGCTCCATTAAGTTATCGTGCACCAAAAGGATTTGCTAAGATCCCGTTACCAACGCCGCATGTCGGATCAGTTGTTGTTAATACACCAAACTCCATTCCAGATGTAAATAGTTACGATAACAAAAACTTCTTCTCGGACGCAAAATTGCATCAACCGACAACGAAAAAGCCAGCCCAATACTTTAGTTATTCGACACCAGCACCAGAACGATCACGTACCACATCACGATTCCGTTTCGGAAGTGAAGTGTCAAAACCAACATACCAACAAAACGAACCGGAAGTTGTGTCACCAACACCAACGACACCATCCAGCCTAAACAATTTCAGTACATTCAAATCAACTCCGGCGTACAAGGCACAAATCGATAATTTATTCCAACACTCAATTGCAAGCGAATCCGATGAACAAAACTTCAATAGTTTCGGTAGCAAATACCACACAACCAGCAACTTTGCAACAGCTGCACCGCCAAAACAAGCGTCACAACCTGTCGTAGATTACCACCGATTGAAAGATGAAGGCCCATCAAAATATCCATTTACTAACACGCAACCAGTCAACACAACCGCATTCACATTCCAAAAAGAAGAGCCACAAAGTGTATTTGGCAGTTTTTTCACGCAAACACCGACCGCATCATTCTTCAACACACCGGAACCAGTTGTACCAGTTGTCACGACAAGGCAACCCGAAGTGACTAAGTTCGATGTCACAAATTTCGACGAACCACAACGCTACAGCCCATTTGTAAGCTCAACGCCACCACCAACAAGCACATCAACTACCAGCACACCATCGGGACATGACGACGAAGACACGTATCGAAATGATGAAATTGAAAAAATGAAATCATATTTCCGTGAACAAGAAGCATTCAAAGTGCGCAATCCAATTGCAATCTCAACACCGGCTGCCTACTATGAAAGCTCATCGACCGGAACACTTGCCACTGAAAAGGGTTACAACGAATTCAGTACAATCCCAACGAGATCGAATTATTTCACCAAAGAGCCCAAACAACACACTCAAAATGTGGCCACAACACCACGCACAACGGTCACCTACTACACAGCTTCATCTTCTGCAGATACGTCGTCTGAACAAGATGTGCCACGATTAAAGGGTCACTCGGTGCATAAGTTCCGATTTGTTGATTCAGTGGTTAAGGATGAAAATCAAATTCCAACCACACCAAAACCCGAAGAAAAATTCATTCAACACGAGCCATTGCAATACAATGAAGTGTACAGTACATCGCCACGCTATGAAACAACCAGAGCTCCATACCGCGAAAGACAAACGATTCCACCATTTGAGGAGAACACGGCAACGTACGACATTCCATCTGAATTGTCACCAATTCAATCAAATTTGCCTGGATTAGTAAATTCATTAATGGAAAAGGATGGAAATACAACACCATATGTAACGGTACCGACAACATCGCCGGTTTCGATTACGACAAGACGATCAAGTATTTCACGCACCAGAACCAGACCACCAACTACACCACGAACACATCAAATCGATGATGGTTCAGCGCCTGAAATCACAACACGTCGTCCAGTCAGAGGAAGACGCCCAATCAACTATGCCAATCGTACTTCAACCGTGCGCACAACCACTCCTCGAAATGTAAGTCGTGTTCGATTTAATCCAACCACCGATGAACGGAATAACATTCGTACCAGCACACGAACACGAGCCCGAGTCACCGGTCGACCAGCCGGAAAAGAAGAAGAAAACATTGATTACCAACGTGATGTGCTCAAACAAAACTATCCGGTTATAACGAAGAACATCAACAAATCAGTCGATGAACAACCAAACAGAGCATACAGTTTTAGTCGTGAAACAACAATTCCACCATTCGAACAAGTAAAAATCGAAAAGAATGTTGAAGTATCGTACAGTGAAAAGGAATCAACGGTACCCGAGCGATATTTTGGTAGCAAAGATGATGGCACAAGAATTCAAAATCAATTATTGCAAAAAGAACCAGAAATTCCTCAAATCATATCGACAACCACTTATACATCCATCCAAAATGAAGACAATCAAGAAGAAATCACTGAAGTGCTGAAAACACGCAAACCATCATTCATTCGTCGTGTTCCAACATCCACCGTACGATCCGTTACAACGCAACGATACACCACTCAATCTCAATCTCAGTCTCAATCCGAATACGATCCAAACAGAGCCAAGGAACGAAACTCGGTAATTAAAATTGCATTTTAAAGTGTGTTTATGTGTGTGTGTGTGTTTTTTCTTTTAGAATTTGAACATGCTCATTTTAAAATCAATGAATTATGGATTTGTTATTCGGTTTGCAATAGGTTCGACAGAAAAATTGGCAAGAAACTAGTTCGGCGGCACCACGCATCGCAAAACCACGCGTACGTGGAAAGCGACCACTTGTAATTGCCACAACAACGGTGAATCCAACCACTGAACTCAATACGGACCAATCATTCCAACAAATCAATTCGTTCAATAAAGGGTTTTACAAAGAATCTCTATACAACAAGAAAACCACTGTAAACGACACCAAAAGCTCACCCGAAAAGGTTTGAACAACAACAGCTTTTTTTGTTTTACTAAACCAGTTTAGTGGCACATTCAATGCTAACACAAGCTTCTCCATTTTTAATGTTTTCACAATGTAGAGAAAGAATCAATTCCGCTTCTCTTTGAACGCTGAGGAAAGTCAATGGTCAGCTAAATTCAATGCAAACTCATTCCAGCCACTCAGTCCAAATGAAAAATCAAAATCATCGAATAATTTGCCTGAAGTTGAAATCGTCACCGCTTCACCAATGTCGGATTCGGAAAAGGTTTGTTTGTTTTGAATACATACATCCTTCATGCTTTACATTGGTTATTTCTTTTTTCATTCATTTACAAAATAACTCTTTTTTTTAAAAAAATTTTTATCGGTTCAAAGGAAACGTACTCGTTTAATGTTCAGGCGAATTTCTTCGATTTTAATAAGAACAAAGAGAATGATAGCGCATCAACAACGACACAGCCGGAAACAAATAACGTTGAACCAGACACGGTTTATAGTAATGAATTAGGCAAAATCAGCTCCAATCGAAATGTTGGCACGGAAGAGAACAGCGTACAAAATTCGAGTCCACAATTTGGTGAGAATAAATCTGGAAAGGCCGGAACATCAGATCAAGAATCTGGACAAAAATCAGAGAAGAAAGGAAGGAGACGTGGAGTATGGAAGCGTGTTCGTGTTCGGCCGGTAGATAGCTTTGAAACGGCTGAATCGCAAAATATCGGCAAACAATTGTACAATACCATCATTAGTGACAATGTTAAGGAATTTGGTGAGCGCAATGCTAAAAAACCAGTTGGTGCACGTATAATCTCAAGCCCGTCAGCTTATGCATACGAAGAAACCATTAACTATAATGATGACATCGATCAAAATGAAAACAATGAACCAGATGTACAAACAGTTTTACCCATGCAAACGACCGAATCAACAAAAGACGATTTTGATCTGACTACAATGAGTAGTGAATCGGTTGAATCCAGCGAAATAACCACTGAATCCATTGAAAAAGATGAACGAGAATTGGAGGCTACGTCAACAGTTAACTATAATGATTCAGATGACTTGACCACAACGATAATGCCATTCATTTCATCGGGGGATGATTTGGAAAGTTTGGAAAAATCAACGGAACGACCAAAAACCAATACAGCATCCGCCCATGATAAGAGTATCAAAAGCAATGTTAGCGATCAAATAAGTGAACCAAGTAGCATTATGGATGAGGTTAAGCAAAAATTGACTGAACTCTTCTCATTTGAGGATGATGATGTGGTGGTCAGCACAACGGAACGTGTATTCAAATTTAATCGCAATTTCAAACGGCCAAAATCTCCTTTACCACATTACACCACCGTTGACCGAAATCCATTGGTAAATGACATTGCGAACGATGAAAAAGATAGCGAAAGCGGTGTTAAATCATCGCCAGCTTCAATGAAATTGGAGCCAGTCCCCGTATTAAAAACGATCTTACGTCCGATAACAGAACCCTCATCCTTTCACAAAGAACTGATGGATTCTGTAATTTATGCAACGTCAACATCAACAGAAATTACCGAATCAACCGAAATTTGCTACCGAGGCAGATGCGTAAAAACACACAAGAAACCATAAGTTTCTTTCATTATTGATCGACGATAAATCGAGCAATTTAGATTACAATTTTCTTAATCATTCCATTTTCGACTGAACGAATGGAATACTATCTAATTCTAATTCTAAAGAGAAAGAAAAAAAAAAGAAAAAAAGAAAACATAAACATCAATGATGCAATTACCAAGGTTTTGCCAAGAATTTTGCCAAATAAAAAGACATACAATCACACGACTCGAATCGTACGTATGGTGAATATACGACTCGTATATTGTAACACACTTCGTCCGGTAATCCAAAATTAAATGTAAAACATGTTAGTTGATAAGCCTTTTTGACAAGTTGGGAACAAGAAATTGAAACGAAACGACGAAATTTATTATTATTATTTTTTTATTATTTCATTAAATCATCATTTTCTAGCTGCATCCATTTCGCCATTTCGATCACCATAGTAATTTTTTTTAAGAGAGTGAAAAAAAAAACAATTTCTTCTCCCCGATTTTCATAGATTTTTGTTTCACAGATTTTTTTTTTTGTCTATCTTCGTTACTAAGTCCTTTGTTAACAATATTTATTTATTTCGTTTGTACTATTTTAAAAATAGAAATGAGAAAAAAAAGAAAAAAAAAAGAGAATCCTATTATTATGAACAAAAAGATACCATGATGATGTGAAAGACAACAACCTTCAAAATTTGAAAATTTGTGCGACACATACAACAAATTACTCATCTTCCAGTCGCCAACCATTAAATCTATCATTGCCTTCCAAATTATGACGCGTTCTAACAATTATCGATTTATAATAGGTTGAAATGTATGTTAACTGATAAAAAATAAATAAATTATAAAAACATATATTCAAAGTGTTTTATTTCGAGTTGATTTGTTTTTCTGCTTCTGTGATAAAAGCAGATAACGGTATTTATGGGAAAATAGGAAGATGCACCGAGCGGTAAGTATTTTGAAATTAGTGTTGCACACGTGATACAAATGGCATACTAACCCGATGTGAAACATTTTTGACACCTAATGAACTGATCCGACAGTGCGACAGAAGAACAGTGTATGAAGAAGAACCATACAAAACATTCGATTATACACACGGATTTCAATCCAGAAATTTGAATCCTTTGTTTATATTCTCTGTTTTTAAATTTAAAGATGGTTCGTGCAAATTGTACACGTTTTCTAGTTTGTCCATTATGGTAGTTAAAGATTAAGTATTGAATAATGTGCGTTAGTCGAATACATCAAATATCAAAGTAACATTTAAGCCATCACAGAAAAAATAAGAACATCGGGAAAAAAAAGGAGAAGAAAAAAATTCCACGAAATGAAAATGTCACCAAAAAAGAATAATTTCGTGCCGCGAATCATGGTCTTTCGTCCAACATGGGAAGAATTCTCGAATTTTTCCAAATACATTGAATACATGGAATCAAAAGGTGCACATTTAGCGGGAGTTGTCAAGGTAAAACATTTATGCTACAAGAACGATCTGTCATTGAAATCGATTGTTGTCAATTTCAATACGGTTGGTTTGAACAATCAAAATTGAACTTTATGTTTTATGCACTTCGTATCGTCTTCAGGTGATACCGCCGCCAGAATATGTGCCACGAAAATCGGGCTATGATTTAGACAACTTGAAAATAACAATACCAGCACCGATTGAGCAAATTGTATCGGGCAAGCAAGGAATCTACCAGCAAATAAACGTTCAGAAGCGACCAATGACCGTGAAGCAATTCCGTGATCTAGCATTGTCCGACCGTTATCAAACGCCGAAACACTTTGACTATGAAGATTTGGAACGTAAATACTGGAAGAATGTCACGTATATTGCACCAATTTATGGAGCCGATGTTGCGGGCACATTGACTGACCCAGATGTCACAAGTTGGAATATAAATAATTTAGGCACAATTTTGGATTACGTAAACAAAGACTACGGCATATCGATAGCCGGTGTCAACACAGCCTACTTATATTTCGGTATGTGGAAAACGTCCTTCGCTTGGCACACAGAAGATATGGATCTGTACTCCATAAACTATTTACATTTCGGTGCGCCAAAGACATGGTATGCTATACCAACCGCTTATGGTCGCAAACTCGAAAAGTTGGCTAATCGCCTGTTTGCCGAAAACTATGAACTGTGTAACGCACATTTAAGGCACAAAATGACGATAATCAGCCCGCAGGTTTTACGCCAAAATCAAATACCGTTCAACAAAGTTACACAAGAGCCGGGCGAAATCATGATCACATTTCCATTTGGATACCATGCTGGTTTCAATCATGGTTTCAACTGCGCCGAGTCAACGAATTTTGCTGCATTGCGTTGGGTTGAATATGGAAAACGTGCAGCACACTGCCAGTGCCGGTAATTTTTTTTTTGTTTTTTTTGGCCTGGGTTCTACTTCTATTTTTCACTCTGAACACTGTGCTCTTAACTATTTTAGAAGGGATGCGGTCAAGATCTCCATGGATACGTTCATCAAAAGGTTTCAGCCGGAAAACTACAGCAAATGGCGAAGCGGCAACGATGTCGGCCCACATCCAGAAGATTCACATCGGCTACGCTCTGACACGTAAGCGAGGTTTTGCAAATTTGATGGTAAAATTACAACGATTTTATTCTATCTCTAATTTTTTTTCTCGATAGAAACGGTACCAATACTTCCATTAAGCAAAAATCGATAAGTCGATCCAAAAGCCAGGATCGTCCATCGGGCTTAAAAAGGTAGGCAAATGGAATATTTTTTGCATTTTTTCGAGATTGATAACTCAATGTATTGTATTTTAGGCGAAAAGTCGAAATGTCAAAGTTCGTTGTGCCTGAGCATATGAATCCAAAAGTGGTTTTGAACAATATTTGGAAAGAATTGGCTGATGTTGGCGTTGCTGTGAATCTCTTGCCGCCGGGAAATATTAAGAAAACCATTAGCATTAGATACAGCACCAAAACCCAATCTCTTTTCGGTGACGACATTTAGAACATTTAGATTGATGCAAGAAAAAAAACGAAAATTATTACTATTTTGAAAAGTCTGCGAACGGATCACATATTCATTCAAACGTGATTTATTTCCTTCATTCATTTGTGCGAGAGAGAAAGAAAAAACTTTCGACCGAAATTTATTTATCATCTTCATTCGCAACTGTTTATATTTCATTGAATTCATCGAAAGCGTTAATGAATTAGGATGAATATTTCATCACATAGTGTAAGAATTCTGAACATGAATAGGATATAACACTGTATTATAAAGCAAACTAATTCGGAATATTGAATACACTGTCATTTAGGTTAGTAGCAAACAATTCGTTTCCAAAGGTTTGAAAAGAAGAAAGATAAACATTAGGTATTCACGATGCAATAATAGTAAATAGACATTAAGACAAATGGATTTTCAGTTTGATTTTGCAAAATTGACTTAAAAAATTATTATAGGCCATTTTATGGCTCGTATTTGAAGTGAAGTGAATTACAAATTGTGAACATTTTTATTTATTTATACCGGTTTGAATGAAAATAAATGTGTCATAGCAAGTCGAACTCGGTTTTTTTTTCTCTTCTGTTTCCAATAAGCAATTGTGTGTGTATATGCTTGCGGGAAATGCATTTGATTGAAGTGAAGTTGTCCGTGAAAGACGAGCCATATTTTTTCATGGAAAATACTATTTTTGGATGCAGTGAATGCTTTTATTCTATTAATAAATCATGTTTCCACCTATGTATTACGTACATGATTCAAGAATTTTTCTTCCTTATTTTCTCTATTGGGTTCGTATTATTGGCGAAAAGATTTTTATTCAAATGCTATGAAATTCTAACCGAATGCAATCTAAAATGCGGAAAATTCAAATCTGTTCTACGAATGATTAAAATCAAGTATGAATTACAGCCATCGTTTTTCTTATTGCGTTTCTCGTTCTATTACATAGAGTATACTACATTTGAAAAAACATTTTCTAAATTCAACTTTTTTCCCTTTTTCGTCAATGAAGAGACCACGAATTTTATGGTCCATATTTCGTGGATATCACATAAGACAAACACAAATTTACTACCATTTTTTTTTTTCAATCCGATTCGCTTAATGCATACACATCTCAATCGTTTCATTTAATTCAAAACATAAGATAACAGTGAGAAAAGTGAGAACTGGTCAACAGTGTAGTAAAATCTGGTCTGGATCAGTAACGCGTGTTTTTTATGGGGCACACTAGATTTGGTTTTTTTGACATTTGACTTGACGTAAATAATAGGCAATGAAAATCTATACACACATTTTATTTCGTACTGCATTTTCTGAAGCGCAGTGCAAAACAGAATTTCGCAATTTGGAGAAGGAAAATTATTAAAATTGCACTTGGCTGTTTGATGCATTTACAGTGTGACATTGTATAAAATCGATACGTTTGAAGTTCAAAGTGATAAATATTCGTCGCATTCGGAGTATAAAGTGAATTTTTGACGAAAAAAAGTTCTATTTGATTACATAAACTGGTTTTAAAATCTGCATAACGTGAAATATCAATTCCATATCCGTAAACATTTTTTTTCATTCTCTTTCGTGTGCGCTCCTGTATTTTGCATTTGCATGACAATCGTCGACGGTTGCTTAGAAATGGTCAACATTCATTGAATGCTTTTCCATCGTTAATGGAATATGACATCAATGGAAAATATGTTATAAAAATCCGTCAATAGAAAAAGCGCGTGTGAAAATAACAAGAAAAAAAAAACATAAAACAATGGTTACATGGAACACAAACAAGCGAATAGTGCGTATTTTGTTGGTGGGCGATCCAGGCGTTGGGAAAACATCTCTCATTTTATCATTGGTGAGCGAAGATTTTCTCGAAGATGTTCCACCAAAAGCAGAAGAAATCACTATTCCGGCCGATGTAACGCCTGAACAAGTACCAACCAACATCGTTGATTACAATGGTAACAAATTAATTTTTGGTTTCGCATCATTTAATCAAAAACAGTACAATTGGAAAATCACCGATTAAATATAATGTTGTTTTTTTTCTTCTTCTTCTTGAAACAGCATCTGAACAAAATGATGATTCATTGCACGAGGAGATCAACAAAGCACACGTTGTTTGCATTGTGTACTCAGTTGAAGATGAATCGTCGATGGACCGCATAAGTGAATATTGGTTGCCATTGATTCGTGACTCGGTGAATGAAAGCGAACAACGTAAACCAGTCGTTCTAGTAGGAAACAAAATCGATTTGATTGACTACTCAACCATTGATGTATGTTGAAAATATTTGGCGATTTTTTTTTTATCCTATGTGAATGCGATTATTTATTTGAATTTCAGAATGTGCTCGGTATAATGGAAGACTTCCCCGAAGTAGAAAGTTGCGTGGAATGTTCGGCAAAAACTCTACACAACATATCCGAAATGTTTTATTATGCACAAAAAGCGGTACTTCATCCGGCGGCACCTCTATATTCGATGGAAGATCAAGATGTATGTCTATTTGTCGATCCTATTAGCCTAACTAAATCATTTTGACATTATTTCAATTTACTTCAATTGAATTTTTTCAATCCATTCCGATTTTAGTTGACTGAAAAATGCAAAAAGGCTTTGGTTCGAATTTTCAAAATTTGCGATATCGATGGTGATGGATTGCTCAATGATTTTGAATTAAATCATTTTCAACGGCGTTGTTTCAATGCCCCGCTTCAGCCGCAGGTACTTGAAGAGGTGAAAGCTGTGCTCAGTAAAAATGTACCCGATGGCGTTGTCAACGATGCCGTCACATTGAAGGGCTTCTTATTTTTGCATTGTTTGTTCATTCAACGCGGTCGAAATGAAACGACATGGGCTGTATTGCGTCGTTTTGGCTACAATGAAACCTTAGAAATGTCAAAGGAGTACCTACAACCGGCTATCAAAATACCACCGGGCAGTAGCACAGAGCTATCACATCGTGGTCAACAATTTTTAACTATGCTATTCGAGCGGAATGATCGTGATTTAGATGGCGCCCTGTCGCCAGACGAGCTCAAATCACTGTTTTCAGCTTGTCCAGCATTGCCGTGGCCATCGCTATCCGATCTACGTCGCATAGTACCAACCAATGAAAAAGGTTGGCTCACACTTCATGGCTGGATTTGCCGTTGGACACTTCAAACGCTGGTCGATTTGCCTCGAACTCTGGAATATCTCGCTTATTTGGGATTTAATGTGCACGAGAACGAATCACAATTAACCGCCATACAAGTGACACGAGAACGAAGACTAGATTTGGCTAAGAAACAAAGCAATCGCACCGTGTACATGTGTCATGTCATCGGACCGAAAAGCGCTGGCAAAACAGCATTGTGCCGGGCACTCATTGCTGAGGATATGAAGCGATTGCTCGAACGAGATTTTCGAAGTGGCTCACATTATTGCATCAACAGTGTACAAATTTATGGTAAGAAGAGGGAAGAGTTAGCTAATTAACTAAATCAAAAGAATCGGCCAGCTGATTTTTTGCCAACATTTTTTGATCTGATTGACATGTTTTAGGTCAAGAAAAGCATCTGGTTATGCGTGATATTGAAGTTCGTCAAGTATTGGATCCGTTGCAGCCGCAGGATGTTCATTGTGATGTGGCATGCCTAGTCTATGATACAAATAACCCCAAGTCATTTGAGTATATTGCTCGGATCTACATAAAGTATTTTGCCGAAAGCAAAATTCCCGTACTGATCACAGGCACCAAAGGTGATTTGGCCGAGGTGCGGCAGGAATATCTATTGCAGCCCGCCGAATTTTGTCAGAAATATAAAATCCTACCACCGCAAATATTTAGTCTGAAGCACAATAAAAAGGATTTATACGTGAAGCTAGCTACAATGGCCGCATTTCCGTAAGTTTATCCCCCTGATACTGATAAATTGTGATGAATTGTTCTAGCTAAATTGCATGTCTATTATTTTCTTCGTGTAATTTAGGCGGTTTCAGGCAGCATGGATATTATTTTACAGACATCGTTTGGAGCATCTTTGGGATTCAACGTAAGTCAACTGAACATTTATCAATTTGAACGATGACCAAATTTATTCATATTTCATAAACAAATTTAACTGTTTTTCAGAAATCTGAGACACTTCGGTCTCATGAGTTCGGATCCGCAGCTATGGTGGAAGGCTGGCATTGGATTGGCGGCAGCAACATGCTTCGGTTATTTTATAGTTAAGCTTTTTCAAAGATCAACACCCAGCTAAATGCGATCATAAACTTTTTACGTTCAAATAGCTTCTCTTCAATCACATACATTTAAAACAAAAGAAAATCAATTGAATAATTATCGTGTAAATATATTTTTTTAAGGAAATCAATTTGAAAAAGAATCATATGAATAAACAACAAAAAAAAAGAAGAAAAACATTCATCCAGTCAAAATAATCGGTCGACCCATTTGTGTTATAATCAAAACAGATGATTAAAAAAAAAATTGTGATGTATTTAATCATAGTTGTTGACGTAACGCGTTTATTCATCACAGCAAATAAAACTTCCTTCACATTTACAAAATTATGAATGAATCGTAGTGTTTTTAAGGCCAAACAATGTTGACGTTGAATCATGCAACAAAATATAGTAACAGATCAATAATCCAATTTGCTTGTTTCATCCGCGTACAAAGCTATTGCAAAATCAGCATGATTTTAATTTCTCATCATTTTTAAAAGGTTTAGTTTTGCTGTCAATATTGGAAGAAAAGAATATCGTCGAAACTATTGGGTCTACAACTTAAAAACCGGAATTTTACGTAAAATGGCACCAGTTGCTTATGCGCTGTAGCATTTGAATGACATATATGTGTATTTGAAAGGCCTAATCATTACCTGTCAAAATCAGTGAAAATAGTTTGTTTTGGTTGTGCACATCATATTTTTTTTCACGATGGAAAATTTTGAAAATTGGCGAAAAAAACAGCATTTGCGGGGGCTGTTTTTTTTCACACGGAAAAAATATGAAAAAATGATTATTCTTCGTATCGGATTGGCGCTGATTATCAACAATGGAACCTTCTCGATAGACTCATGCAGGAAAAACCATATGTGGATCGTTGCTCCTTGTCATTATAGGGGGCGCAGCAATCGCTCCCTCAAAAATGGGCGTTTTTCCATATTTGCGGGGGTGGAGAAGATATGGTCCGTTGTGCGGAGGTAAAATCATATCGAAATGTTAGATTTGATCGCTCCCAACAATAAATAATTGTTATATATCCATTTTTGACAGCAGAATCGAAAAATTTGCACAATGCACCAAAAAATTGGTTTTTCAGGGAAAAAAAATTCAGTGACTTTTTACACATCGAGACAAAAATTTCTAAGAAGCAGTTGAATGAGAACACGCGCTATGCCCCCGCTGTATACTCCAGACATTGCTCCTTCTAACTACCACTTGTTTCAGACAATTCAAATCACCTAAGTGGAGAACGGTTCACTTTTTTTTTCAACAGCTCGAAAAATGGGTCAATCCTTTTTTAGGGTCAAAAGTCCCGTTATTTTATTTCGAAATGTTAACTGTAAATTGCCTGAAATATAGGTAAAGGATGTCGCTTCCGATAGCCAATACTTTGAATGACATGTTATTTCAATAAATTATCGAAATAAAGCAGTTTTTTTTTCACAAAAAATTCCGGTTTTTAAGTTGTAGACCCAATATATACTGAAAAAAAGGCAGATGAAAAACAAATTCAATAAATAAAATAAAAACCAGAAAATCTTACATTCACATTCGTTTTTATTGGTAAATCAATAATTGTCTTTTTTTTATATCGCTTAATTTTCTTAAAAAGCCAATCCTTTCGCTCAATTTTCACTCCATTATTAAATATTTTGAGCAGGTTTCGTGACGATAAAATATGTATGTCAATGTGTATTTTCATGCCTTTTTGTGAGTGTGTGTGTGTGGAATGGACGCTAAACACCAACAAAATTACTGTACTTGTAAAAAGAAACAAACAATTCATTAATTGACATTTGTGTCAATGCATGCAAAATTTCAACCGAATCCAGTCTGATCTCGATCAGGCCATAAAAAAAGAGAATGTTCATTACAATTTTATTTGATTCGTAAATTCGAAAATATTGATGCAATCGAATTAATACAATTGTATTACATTATATACTTATTTTTACATTCGGCTGATCTTTGAGATGGAATCAGTGTGAATTTATGCAGGGATTGACAATACATTTACATTCAATATCTTATATTCTTTGTATATGGTAAAGATAAAGTTAATGATAGAGATTCTTTTTGTTTTTGTTTTTGGTTTTCGTGTGCTGCACCAACGCAAATGCAAACTCAATGCAAGAAAAATCGTTTGTTGTACGGCACTGCAACAACTTGAGATAAAGGTACTGGAGGTTCCATATATATATTTTACAACACCATACAGAATGTATGTGCTATTGTTTTGGTATCTTTTCTTTTCAAAACGGAAAATTTCGCTTCATTTGATTTTCAAGGTGATTTAGATATTTTAATGCCCTGGATTCCATCCACTTTAATTTCGATTAAGAATAAACATTGGTCGAAAATAGAAACAAGTCAAGAAATACATGGATACTCAAAATTTATGTATTCTAATAAATATCAAGCATTTTTGTTTTGGTTTGACATTTAATTTTTTTTTTGTTGATGCTACTGTTTCACTTATTCCAGTAGTGACCATATGATTTGGCAAAATTGAGGGAATTCGAAAATTAAATGTACATGCGAGACTCATATTGATTGCGGAAAAATATCAATGCACTTGAACCGTATTAAACGACATAATAGCTCTCATTATATTCGATTGGAATATCATTCAAAGCCCATTGAAGCAACGTCTGATGTCGATGCAATTAGCTAAAGTAATCTAGAAAAACCGAATACCTTCGAAACATGTGTTGAAATTTTGTTGTTTGTTTTTTTCCTGTTTGTTTATGCTTCAATTTTGATTTGCATGCCACTTTTGTACTGAATGAAGCATTTAATTTTGCGAAAAAATGGCTTGTTTTATTGTGTAGGGGAGTGTGGTTAGTTTTTGTAGCAACACATATCGTGATGCACATCTCTTATATGAAATCATTGGTGAAAAATTTACCGCACGAGCAATCGTCTCATGCACTCCCTCAATTATTTGCATTCGTGTGTCGACAATAGAAAAAATCTTATATATCAAACCCGGTTTACTGAAATCTACAGACAAAACCAAACATAATAGTTCCAACAAATTTGCAGCAAAGGCTTGACGTGATTTTCAAAATCTTTAAAGATTTTCAATTGAAACCCATATACCATCATGGATAGTTACACACGTTTCAACAAGTGCATTTTCGGTTGGGAACGCTATTTGTTTCAATTGATTGGCCACGATGTTCCCATTGGAAAGCTGAAACAGAATGCAATGAGCTACACAATTTACATTTCCGTTGTTTTGGTAATTGTGAGTAAAATTTACACTTTTGTCATGAACGACGATATTTTCGGTGTGTGTATTTTGCTTGCACATTTCCTTAGGCTCACTTCAGGTGTGTCAATCAACATCACCGAAATTAGCTGTGTTTGATTCAAAATTTGGTTTTGTTTTAGTGTATGGTAAAATTATACAGTCGTCAATATGTTGACGATATTCAATGGGTTGTGTATTCAAGATTTTTAAGGGTTCATATCGAAACCAAGTCTACCGAGCGAAAATAATATTGACCATGTTTTTGTTGACCTCCCTTTGTCTATCGGCCACTGATTACTTTCTGGTCGTGATAATCATAAGCACATTGATTTTTTTTCCAAGCTAATTTCGTTTGAAATACATCACATTCACATGGATTATCCTTCATCCAAGGATTATCAATGCATAAAATTAGAGCTGGGTTTAGAAACATTATTCTAATGCACCAAAAGCTGAGCGAGTGAAGTGAATTGCGGTTTTGAATGAACTTGAAGTGAACAGACGCAAATTATGAACTGGCTGAGGTACATGGCACGTGTTGAAAATCTCACATTTAAAACGTACTTTGCTCAAGTGTAAACATTCTGTTATACATGTTTTTAAAATAATTTCCAATTCATGCAATAGATTTCATACAATAGATTGCATTCATGATTTAAATGGTTGGATTTTCGGTTGGGCGATTGTTCACCACAAAAAAAGGACTCATGTTTTCAAACTATGTTCAGGATCAGGTATTTACTTGTGACATTGATTATGCTGATAGACGAACATGGCTAGGCTGTACATAATCGATTTTATGACAAATTTCCGAGCGAAATCACTTAAAATGAATTATGCACTTTTCTAAATTATTTTTCATTTGTTTAATTTGGTTTTCATTTTTTTTTTCTATTACAGCCGTAACAAGTTCAGCACAATTCATGCCAACAATATTATTTTCATCCCCTAATTAATATGCATACTGTTTATTTTCATTTGTTGTTGTTTCGAATGACTTTTGTTTCATCTTCAAAAACGAATCATATGTTCTTCTTTCCTTCGTTAAATAATCGCTTAAAATTGGTTTTCCTTTGAATTGGTATTGATTATTCCATTTATTTTTTCTTTGTTTTTCGTTTGCTTGCTTTGTGTTTTTGTGTTTAAATTACGATGATTACAAGAATTATGACGACATCAATATTAAATGGCGACACAACTGACACTAGCTTATTTCTGCATCTTTCGAATTTCGAAGATGATTTACATTTCATTGTTCGTGTCGTATTTATGGATATTCATTTTATATAATGAACTTTAAGTTTAACTGGATAGGCGGATTTAAAAATGAGGATTTTCTTGATTAATATTCTGTGATCATAAGTTTTGATTCCGGTGGATGGTCTTTTAGCAAATGGCAAATCAAATTAATCTGCTGCTTAAATGAGATTCTGCTCTATTCAAAAAAAAAAAAGAAAAGAATCATTTTCAGTAGTTGAACTTGAAAAATGGTTACAAGATAATATTATAAAAAAAATACGATGTCACAATTAGCTGAAGAATTTATTTGTATATAAATCACAACACAATGAACAACATTCGAAAAACTGTAACATTTCCTCTTCTTTCGAACAAAGCCATTTCCCGTCAACCACGATTCGATTCGATTGAATGGTCTGAAAAATATTCCATTTTCATTTATTTTTCTTGGCAGTAAATATAGTAAAATAAATTTTATGAATGAAATAGTTTGGAAAAAAGTTTCGTTGAATGAGGACAAAGATGAATAATTATGGTTCCTGCCAATTGTGTGAAGTCATTGGCGAAATTCATTATGTTTGCCGCATTCGGTGTTGTAAATGAAAGTGAATGAGATTTAACGACGTTGGAAAACAGAGTAAGAATGTGTTTTTTTTTTTTGGCAAGATTTACTTACAAAGGTGGTCATTTTAGCTAGATCAGATTGGAAATCATAAGTACAGTTATTGCATTACAAATACAGCCGATTTTCCTAATCTTCTGTGAATTAAGAAGAAGAAATGAGCGTCTATAAAAAAGATTATCGTTTTTGTGATGAGCCTACAAAATTATTCATTCCATTGGCACACGAATATGTCGAATTAAAGCTGTTATCCGAGGAAGTGACAAGAAAACGACTCTGTTATTCATTTTACGCACATTTCGATAAAATTTAATATCAATTAATCATTGAAATACACTCCGCATCAATTTTGAGCTTTTATCCGAAAACATTTTAAATCGCAATTTTCTGTGTTTTTTCTTCTTCTTCTTCTTCCCTCCTCATTTGGTTCATTTAAATTTATTAATAAGTGCTTGATATTATTTACTATTGCTGAAGTAGTTTACGTGCTCTAGTTGCTTTTGATAACTAAATAGCTTCAATTCCACGGGTCGTTGAACTTTAAAAGAAAGCACCAAAGATTGCATTTTCATTGTGATATATTTTAATCGGTGTGTGTGTGTGTGTGTGTGTGTATTTGTATGTGATTTGCGCGAGAGAAAAAAAAGGTGATAAATTGTTCGATTGGTTTGATTCGTGTGGCAAATTTGATTCTGTGCCGGTATTCTACAACACATTCCGAACACTTTGTTCGGAACGTTCAATTGCATTTTGGAAGGTGGAATCCAAACGTTATATATGGATTTGTATCTATTTTATTGATTGAACGTTTGATATCCACCTTCCAAAATGCAATTGAACGTTCCGAACAAAGTGTTCGGAATGTGTTGTAGAATACCGGCACTGTTTTCAGAAGGAGACAAAAGAACATAATTCGTTTGCATACAACATCTCTTGGTTCTATTCCGATTTTATTATTTCACTCCACTTAGTATATTGTATAAATGTTTGTTGTTTCATTTTGTGTTTGCTTTAAATCGTATTCACGAACATAAGACATTTTTATATATGTACATTTATTGCATTTTTGTTTGCTGTGGTTCCTGTTCTCGTTTACTTGTATATGATTTAAATTGAAAACATCGATTAGCCTACGGTTTTTATTTCTTCTTCTCATTACTCTCTTTATGAGTTATTATTGTTTAATCTCAATACGGACACATCCATTTAAATTTGTATTTCATTGATTTTTTTTCTATGACATTGATATTATTATCGTAAATTATGCTTCGATCTTGTCGTATTTAACGAAAACATCCAAATAAATTCCATTTCACATTTTATTACATTGATTAAATCTAGGTAGTATATTGAAAGAAACAAAACGGTTGGATTTTTTTTTTTTTTTAATAAAGAACATCTAAACTGAGTTTACTGCGAACAACATCTCTTTTACTCTAACAGCAATTCGTACACGAACGAGTCAGTGTGACGGTTGGTGTGAGCGAGACAGGATTTGACAGCAAACAATTTGGTTGTATCAGTTTAAATGTTCTTTTGTTTTGCTATCGATGGCTTTTCTTCAAATGCAATGAGAATTCCCCATGCAAATCCGGAGAGAATGGAAAAAGTCGTTGGGTAAATGACATGGAAACCGAACATGAATTTATGGCAATGCCTAAGCGACAAACAAACAAACAAAAAAATATTAATAAATTAAATTAATTCAAGATTCATCTAAAATCACTGAAATCAACAACAAAACGAGTAAAATTTTCGCTACGGAAAAATTGGTGAACGTAGTTTTCATTTTGTTGTTGTTGTTTTTTTTTTTTAAATTAATTTCATAAAATTACTGATATTTTCATTACAATAATGATTCTTTAATATGTTTATATAAAAAATGCTAATCTATTTTTTTTTATGAACAGGTATGAAAATATATTTTGCACATTTCACAATTTGTTTGCCAAGTACTTGCATTTGTTGTTGTTCTTGTTGTTGCGGTTGATGTTATTATTATATATTTTTTTGTCATTTTTTGTCGTTTAAAGAGTTTTAAGCAAATTTACAAAGACACACATCGATAAATTCCAAATACTGCTTAGTTTATAGTAAATTGTATTTCAAATTACAAAGGAGACAAAGCGACACCCCAGTAAACTGTATTTCTTTTTCTTGATTTTAACTATGTTTGTCCTATTTCACCGTGTGCATTATACGAACGAATATAATTGTTTTTGTTGTTGTTGTTGTTGTTGTTTATTTATTATTTGGTCGAAAAGTGTATTGAGAAGAATTCTTGAAAGTATAGAAAAAAGTTTTTCCGTTTTTCGATGTCGATTGTATGCAACAATACGAAAAACAAACATAATTGTTTAAAAAAAAATCAAACAACGATATGTTCTCTTTTCTATTTAATTAGTTTTCCTAGCATATACCTAGTTTATGGTTTCGATTTTTGTTTGTTATTCGTGTTGCGATTTAATAAAAAAATGAAATTCATAATATTAGTTTGGTTTTTGGGTTGTTTCACATTTTTAATTTGTTTCTTTGTTTATTATCGAATAATGATACGAGATTATTTTGTTGTCTTTTGGATCGTTATTATTGTTAATTTCATATGTCGATTCGCAATTTACTAATTACACGTTTTGGATTTTGCTGTTTTTTTTTTATATCTCACAGTTAAATCGTTCTGGATTCATATTTCTTCGAAAGGAAAATCAGAATAAAATTTTATTTATTAAAAAAAAAAAAACAGATAAACCATTCAAAATGTTTTTCCTTTTTTCTGAAACAAAATCCAATTAAACCGATTTCTTGATAGCCCACAATGTTCAAGTACGAAATAAAAGAAAAATAAATTAATGGAAAATGAACAAAACTCAATCTACTACGGACATAAGAGTTTGTTAATTATTATGTTAATAATCAGTCTTGCTAGATGCTCAGAATTGGAAAAAGTGTTTTTTTTTTTTTTTTGGGGTGGAGTCTTAAACAAAAATCGGTTTTTCATTTTGTTGTTATTATTTATAGTTCTTTTTTGATAATATACTCGGACAACCGTTTAAATTTGTTTGTTTTACGTTGTGTTGTTGTTGTTTTTTTTTCTTCAAATTTTATTTTTGAAAGATACTAAAAAAGAGTGTTTCGTTTATACATCGTTCTTATTAAAAATACATTTTGGAAATGAATACAAAAATAAGCGAGAAGAAAACATATATAGTCGCGTTCACATTTATCGACAAATATCAAATGAGAAAAGTAAATGAGTAGAAAATACAAAAATGCAAAATGGAACACTATTAATTTTGGATTAGTTTCATTCTTTTCTTCTTTTAAATCTTATATATTGTGTATTTGTTCATCATCATAAAATTGCACACGTCATCTTCAGGATTGATAAAATTTCTTCTGAATTTCTTCAATTGAATTTTGTGTGCGGATTTCGCTCTCTTTTTTACGTGTTTACTGCGTTACAAACAAATAGCATGGAGTCGACACATCAAAACATACAATTTTATTTTATTATTATTTTTTTTTTTTTCTGTTTCTGTTCCAATATTCATAAATTACGTTACAACATACAATAATTCCACAATATTCTTATTTATCTTTTGTTTCATTTGTTTGTTTGTGTATATGGTTTGTTGTTAGGCACGTCGCATTACATAGCAATGACGACGAGTTCTCGAGTATTTCTATAGTCGTTTTTTTTTTCCCTCTTTTTATTATTCTTTCGATGAGCTTTCCAATATAATTTGATTAAAAGCTTTAAAGGTTTGTGTGAGTGGATCTGGCTCATTTTATGAATTGTGCACAGTTATTTTATTTTTCTTTCTTCGTGTCCATTGAGATTGACAAGTGCGCTTTATTGAGCGCCCTGCACTTCCTTCTTTTCCCTTTAATTTAATTAAATTCACTAGTTGTGGATATTTCGAACACGCATCTTGACCACAATAAACATTTACATAAAACTGATAGTAGCTCGCGTTTGTTTTCCTTTTTTTTTTTTTTTTTCGTTTGAAGTTTATCGGTTTTCAACGTTTTTTCTCACTTCTTCTTCTGTTTAGTTCTTATTAGGTTCAAACATTAGTTTCATTTGTGTTTTTTTATAAAGCATACACAATACACATATTAAACTATATAATTATTGTAAAAAAATTATTTTCTATACAATTTAATCATTGATTTATGTATATAATAATCGAGTGGTTCTATTCAATCATTTCATTTTTTTGTTTGTTTGTTCATTATCTAAACTAAAAAAAAAAAAAGAATGAAAACAAAACATTAAAAAAATGAAATTAGAAATATTAAACCTACAAACGTAGTAAACACAATTAAATGCGGAATATGTTTCGAGTTCTTTTTTTTTTCTTTTCCTTTTACTTTCTTTCTGTTCACGCTTCGGAATGGGAATTCCACACAAATAGATATCATTCGGTTCTCACTGTTTAATTAATATTTTACAAATAAACCATTTTTTTTTATCCCCTTTCTTTAGGTTTTCCACTGTTTTACACTATCGTCTCTGGCAACAAATGATCCATGCGGTGGCCGTAATCGTGGTTCATGTGCCATTCAATGTCACACTATTCAGACGACATGATGTTATGAACTTGTTCCAGTTTGTAGGCGAGACGTTGCTTCTGCGAGAATTCATCCTCTTCTAGCGTTACAGTTAGTTGCTCGTTGTATTTCACAGCATATGTGTAGAGTTCGTGGAGGGCACAATTCGTATTAAACTCAGTGGTGTGCAGCTGTACATTCCATATAAAAAATAAAATATTGAAACGTTTGTTTGCCATAAATGAAAATTGAAATGCAATTAATTTTCGGAGTTTACTTACACGTGACTCTTCGGCAAGCATTGCGTTCATATCCTGATCACTGATTGCTTGCATCTCTCGAATATCAGCGTAGTACCGTTCAACCCATTGACGATACGATGGAATGTCCTTAGCATACAATAATTTTGAACTCGGCGAATCTTTTCCTAATCGATGATCCGATGTCGAACATGAATCCATAAATGTTTGAGCAACAACCGATAGACATGAATCGACAATATTCGATTTATGTATGTCAAAAACGAAATTTGGATTTTTTATTAAATTAACCCAAAATCTGCGAAACAAGAATAAAAGATATGATTAAATAAAGGCTGATGGATGGATATGTTTTAATTAAGGTTCGTTATTTTTTCAATGGTTGAATATAGACCCCACCTTAATGGTAAACTATTGCTTTTCCATGTGTGCACAACCTCTGGATCAGTAATACCGTGGAGTAATGCTTGATCATCCAGGAAATCAAACATATATTTTATAGCTAATGGCAGTGCCGAACCTCGATGAGCCGTACTGAATATGGTCTCGAATAAATCATCTACGAATTTTTGCAACGTGCCCTTGGTAGCCAGCAAACGTGTCAGATAAATTTCCGATACCATTTTATTGACGCGTTCACCTTCCTTTTGCAAATCGATATCGTGATGCTTCACCAAATGCCAATATCTTAAACCGTTCTCTTGAACGTCTGCATTGAGCGGGCTACCAGCTCGACTAAACGGTGGACTTGACGATGGGTATTTCGATAGATTTAGTGTTTCATATTTATGTGATTTGTCATTTTTATCGGATAACATCGACAAATTGTAAATGGGACTTTGTCGTGATACTAAGCTCAAGCATGCACCGTCTGGCACACGATAATGATGAAGTGTGTTGAGTTTTTTCCATTCGCTGTCCATTTTCGATGTGGAATCTTCGTCGTATAAAATCACTCGACCCGAAGCACCAGTTCGCCATTCCAAATCTAAATCGTCACGCCGTGGCCGCTGGCTCCATGGTGTGCTACGGTAGATCGTCTCCAAGCATTTCTCCTTGACTTGACCGATTGTATCACAGTCGAGAACGCGAACAGGAACATTTTCCGTATTCGTTGGCAACATTTCAATATTGTTTGTGCATAAAATTGGCTGCTGTGTAATGCTTGCATAGACCGCCATACATTTAAAATCAATTAGCTGACGAATCAATTTCTCTTCGCTGAGGGAGTATCGTGCTTCGTGCGTTATCGCATCGACTGGACCCTTGTCCATCTGACCTTTTACCGCTCTGAACAGCATGTACAGCGGTTCGCCAGCACATTCACGCAAAAATTTGTGCAGCAAAAATGTAAACCATGCGCTCAACATCTTCTCAGCCACACTCTCCGTTCGTCGCAGCAAAAGTTTTGGGTGACTTTTGCCATCGATGCACTTCTCAATCAGTTCGGCTAGCAGCGTTTTCAATATATCGGTGCAATATTCAAGTTTACTTTGCAATGTGACCATTATGAGTGATGCAACATTCACTCGTTCTCTCATCGAGAAATACCGATTACTTTCCAGTGTTCGAATGAACAACAGCAAGAACGTCTTGTTCATTATCAGTTGGCCAAAGAGTCGTAGACCCTTTTCTTTCTTCAGCAATTCCGGCCGTTCCCATTGCAGCACCACATGATCTTCGTTATTTGGAAACAGAATTTTCATGGCATACGTTCGATAATCCAAGAATGGTATACCACCACTCGTCAAATCTCCCGTCATGTCACCCATTTCGGTTTGCAATTCAGCGAATGCCTCCTTACACTCAGCTGCCACTTGCAATTCCAAGATATCCATTTGCTCTTGCATATTTTTAAGCACACGATTGCTTTCGCTTGTCTTCTTCCGATATGCAATCACCAAACTTATGAAAACGAGCAAGAGAACGACAATGCCTGTACGAAGAAAAGCGGAAAGAGATAAGTAGGCAGACATTTTGAGGCACATGTTTTGTGACGAACAAATGAAGATAGAAAGAACGGAAGAGCGATAAAATTGTTCTTCTCAACATTGACATTACATTTTAAACGCTCAAACTTTAAATATATTTAAGGCTGTGACAATGAAAATGGCAATACAGGTATAAACATTCTGAAACGCATCAAGAAAAAAAATTCGCAAAAATGAATCATGACTTCTGAATATGCAAAAGTGAAACATGAATTTACATGGGCAGCATAGGAGGTTCATGGTTCACTTTTGTGTATTCAGAACTCATGATTCACTTTAACGAATTTTTTTTTTCTTGATGCGCTTCAGAATATTTGTTCCTGTATTGCCACTTTCATTCTCACAGCCTCATTTATTCGAATGATTGTTTGCTTTGCTTTGCATTGATTTTTAAAACATAACTTTGGTTAGTACAGATCGGGAAAAAAAATCGTTGAATTATTTTGGGTGAAACGAAAAACGTCCTAAAAACCCAAAAATCGTCCTGGCAAACTACGACAGACCACGTTTTGATTTCGAGTGAGTAATGACACACTTTATGAGTAACCTGAATCGTGGACAAAAAAAATGCTTGGAAATGATTTTTGTTATTTTCTTCGAAATTGCTTGTTGTTGATAACTAAAATGAAATCATTTTCTAATAAAACTAACGGAAATGTTTTTTTGATGTTGTAGAATTGAAGAAGGAAATGATTAAAGCCTGACTCAACAGAGAACTGTGGAATAGACGAAATGAACGGAAATTCCTTAGATTGTAAAAACGACAGCATCAAATGTTATCAGCGATATTTTCTAACATAAAATTGAGCATTTTGAATACATTTTTAGGATTTTTAGGAAGTTTTTTGTATTATTTTTTGGACAAAATTGAGGTCTTTTAAGTCGATTTTTGTAGTTTTTTAGGATAATTTTTGTGATATTTATAGGACGATTTTTGGGTTTTTCAGGACGTTTTTCGTTTCACATTTGTCTTGGACTCGGAAACTTCATACTAATTTATATCAAAACGCTACTTACATGCAACAGCAGTGGCCATAGCATTCCTGCTCAAACCATTCATGAATGTTGGCGAGGCAAAACTGAGAACACCAATATCGAATGAGAGCGATTGACCAACTTTGACTATAACTTTTGGATTTCTGAAAACATAAATCGATCAAATGGAATCAATCAAAATCACTGCAAGTAAATGGAACACACGTTGAATAAAAACACTTACTCATTTGAATCAGAGACATCGGTTGGTGGTCGGCATGTTAGCTGTTGTCGTGAAAGCGATGTTATATTACACACTCCTTCTCCAATCAGAACAACCACATCGGTTTCTTTGCTGGCACGATCCAAGTTGCGTCCATTGATGGTTAAATATTCGCTCTTGAAATACTTAACATCCTCATCGAATGGTGCATACCATGGATTCGGAAAAAGTTCAAACTTTTGGTGTCCTTTGCTCGATAAATTCTGTACGCTGGCCACGTCATCCATCATGAAACCGAATTCCAGTTTGGCCGGATCGTCTGCATTTAACTTCTCACTATCAGCATCGATGACTGGTGAATCGCATTCCATTTCAGTGTTACTCAATGCCGTGCAATGTGCGATGAACGTTTTGTCATCATAATACACGTACATTTGCGGTTTTTGTATGATTTTCAAATTATTTCCGTGTACAAAGATTTTGATACCACCGGCTGGAATACCCTTTGGTGTCTTCTGACCCAATAGGCCCGATGTTGCTGTGATGATTGTCGGATCGTCTTCGAATTGGAATAATCCAACATCACATTCGCGAGAAGCTCGATCGAATTCCATTCGCAGTTTGCCAGAGCGTTTTTCCGTTGATGAACTGGTTCGGCATAGTGCTTGATTCTCGTCAACACTCAAAATTACGCATGGCATTTCACCGATGTAAGCTTTTATCAAGCTGCCTGCATTCAGATAGTTGCCGGTTATTGTAACTTGAGTGCCACCCGAAACGGGTCCGAATTTCGGAATGAAATCGTCAATTGATGGATCAACAAATTGGAAATCGGTTGTTGATTCGCCACGATAATCACCAATTTGAACGACAATTTTTCCTTGACGATTTTTAAAATCGCCCGGTCCATCGACTGTACACACAATTTTCTTTGTGTCTACATACAGATTCTGGAATGGCATACAACTCATGCCAGCAACTTTAACGCCTGAATAGATGTCGAGGAAATTTTTGCCCAAATTTATGCCACGAATCGTAACATTGGTACCGCCTTCATATGGACCAGTGGCCGGGCTGAAGGAGAAGATTTTTGGATTTGGACACGTTTGCGATCGATTGAGCCAGTCATTTTTCTTTTCGTCACCGATCGAACATTGGTCAGTTACTTCACATGTTGACGTCGACTGACACCAACCGCAATTGTACTTTTCCGGCAATGCAAGACACGTCCCACAACTGTCACACATATCGCGGCAGCGATAAATCACCACTGATTTCGAAATAATAAATATGATTGGTTTTTTTCAATGAGTTAAACGAGTATAATCGGGTTTGTTTGTTTATTATTCGTATGTAGCATGCAAAATAATCGTTTTTTTTTTCTCAATTCAACTTACCATGAATGTTATCTGGATTGTCAAGCGGCTTTGATCCGCCCCATATAACAGCAAATGTTGCAGTTAGATTTGGTGATTTTGATGTGTACACGAATTCCATGGGATCACAGTAGATCGTGTCACCCAATAATTGCGCATTCACGCTAGTCACTCGCCCTTCAATATTGAACTGGCACACGAATCGAGTTTGAACAATAAATTGTCCGATGATATGCACTTTAACTTTAATGGATTTCTTTGCACCAGATGCTACCAAAATTTCACTTCCATCACCAGTTGCATTGATTGTCGGACAAAAACTAGGACCCGATCGATAACTTGGACCAATTCTCTGTAAGAAAATGATCATTTTTTTCATGATTCCATTTTGAGTAGGAAGAAAAATTGCGAAATTTAGCAGAAAAGTCGAATACTTACACTAACACCGGTCACTAAAATATCATTTCGACAATTTTCGGCTGTATCATGCGTGCAGCGATGCGCTTCGACACACCAATCGCACGGAAATTGTGATGACACACATTGCGTACAGGATAAATGCGTCGAACAGTCGAAGAATGTGAATGATGTTGAAACCAAGTCAGGTCCGTTCATTGTGCGCACCGACAATTTGGCAGTAAAATGATCTAAAGTAAACGATTTTTTTTTAAAAAACCTAAATTAATTACCAAGTTTTGTTTTCAGTTTTCAAACAGTGAGCTTACGTTTGCCAGGAGCAATTTGTGGAAGAAGATCAGTACGTGGGGTTGTGCAGTTAACACCATTTCGTTTTCTTGTTGCGTTTGTATAAATGGTCGGTTTATCGGCGGTGGTGAATGCGCACACGAGACTCTCTTTCAGCAATGGCAAATGGTCGATTGTCAGTTCAAGCTGTGTCAAGATTCGTAAAAATAAAATATTTTGTTACATTTTCTTCCATTCAAACATCAACATTTTTGTCAGTAAATAATCAACAAATAAGTTTCTGCGATTTTTTTCATAAATAACCTACCGTTCGAGCGGTGGTTCTTTGGAGTTGATGTGGAACAACACTTGTGATTGTTGTACATTTGCCGGTTTTGTATGTGACCCAGAACAGTGGATCATTTGAATTGTCGTCACAGTTTGATCGAAGACTGCATTTATTTTCTAGAGAGCACCAGCCACAGTATGGATCCTTAGCACCCAAACATTCGGCACAATTGGAGAAAACGGTGCAATCGTACACCTTAACTTTGGTCACACGACTTTTAGTCATCACGTAGAGATTCAATTCTTGCAGATCAAAATGCATATCAGCGTTGACCGGTGAGTTTTCGTGTATTTTAATGTCAGCATATTCGATTGCCGACGTTCCCGATTCCACTACAACCTTTTTCACATGGCCATCAACTGTGCCGACAAATACAACGGTGAAACCACTGGTTCGTGTTGCTGCTACGGCCGTTAATTGTTTGTCGAATGTTGCAACAGGCACAGCAGCTATGGCCTGTTCACCGCCCAAAGGATAGTTAACGTCTAAGCCGCAAAAGTCTTCGCTGATTGTCTGTAGTTTGGTCGAAACGCATGGCATATTTGGCAAAATAAAGTCTAAACCACGAGAACCATGGCCGTTGAAACATGATTTGATGTTTTGCATGAACTTTCGTCGTATGGATTTCAGAGAATATACACAAAGAGCTGACTTATTCGATGGTATGTTGTCCTTGCCTTCGGAGAAAACTGCGTATAAAACATCATCTTGTGGTGTGATTCCAAGGTTTTCTGCCAAATCGGCACCGGGTTTGCCTAGGTAAGCTGCCTGCACTAAATTGTATTTGATGCCTTCGCCAATGCAATCGACTGGAATTTCTGTGTATGAATAATAATGCGAGTCTTCTTGACAAATTCGTACCAATTTCGTAATGTATTCTTTTGTAACACTTGGCGCATTATGCTTCAATTGCGTGGTCAGAAAATATGAAAAACGCTCCGAACTAAAGCCATACACGTAGTTAACGGGATATGATTCACGTGAATTTGGATTGATAAACATTCGCGTTCCAGTTGTTACAGCCGACGATGCCAATTGAAACATACGGCCCTTTTCCAAGCTACGCGACGCAACTGCTGGAATTTCACTTCGATACAGAGAATTACCAGCAAATGTTACGCCAACATACATCACATTTGTAACGGGTGGTGCTGGCGGACCAGGTGCAATAAAAGCCACTGTCGATGCATCTAAAACAAATGGTTTTCCAACATTAGTTTGATTAGTTTAATTTTGACGCAAAAAAAAAGTACACAATGCACCCTTAACTTACTTTCACTATTAGCGACGATTGCTTCGGCAATATCTTGTTCGGGTGACGAAATATTTTGCAGACTTCTCACCGAACAAATGCCTTGAAATAGTGAACCGCAAGTGATTAATCGGCTCGTGCTATAGTCGATCAGTAGAACTTTGTTAATATTATCGGTAAGTTTGCGCGTTAGGTTTTGTGTGCATTCGTTGAAACTGCAATCTTTGGAATCATTTCGAGGGCCTGTTTTTGCTGTCGCAACAATATCCAAGTCTGGCGATAGTTGATATAGCTGATTTCGGCCTCCAATGAAGACCTTTTTGAATTCAAAAACAAACAAGAAGAAAGAAAAAAAAACAAACAAACAGACCACAATCAGTCCAAAATCCATGTCGCACACACACACACACACACACACATAAATTGAAACTAAATCCAAATACACTTAATCTCATTTGAATAGAAATAAAACTCACTCTTCCAGTGTTACGATCAACCACTAAATGGTTTAAGTCGGTGTCAAATTCATTTTTATGCGTAATCGTATTATTGCTAATGCTATTGATGCTATTATTGAAACTGGTATAAATGCTTTCGATGCTATTGTTTGTATCGCTGGCTTCGATGATTCGTGTCCTGCCGCTGTTACTGTTGCTTACAAACTTGAATATTGTTATAAACAACAATAAATTCAGGAACCCTTTCATGGTTCACGACATAGACCTAAAGAGAAAAAAATAACACAGTGAAAAAAAATTGCACAATTTAAATTTCACTTCTCATTCGTTCATTCATAGCAGTATCTTAATAATTCATTCGTCCAACTGCTTTCAACTCAGTCGACATTGCGAAATCAATCTTTTTTTTTTATTCAAGAAAAACCGAAAAACAAATCGTGAGCTGATTGGTAAGAATTTTCGCTAATTTTTTTTTTCCGTCTGGCGATATTACGCACACCAAATGTATCGCACAATATATTTATACACCTTGAAAACGTAACATACAGTACACGGGGAAACGCCACAGATAGAAAATTTATTGGAATCGAACACCAAATGCGAGTAAAATGGTGAAATTATTCATCTCAATTGGATTTTTCTGAATCTAATTGCGTTCACAAATGCATCTCTATCACAAAAAATCGCAAAAATATTTCATGAACATTCGAAAATCGAAAAACTTTTACCTAAATCTTGCACAAACACATCGATAGTAGCTTATACTTTTTTTTTCTCTTCGTTCGTCTTCACTTCTTCACTCTTCTCTCTGTTGTATATTTGACTTTCCTATCGATTTATCCCAAGAGTTGACAGTTCTTTATTAGAAATCAAAGGCTTCATCTGTTTGTCTCAAGTGTGTGTATCTCTTTCTGTTGCATGGCAATATTTGGTATAGGTTTGTATGTTGATGCCGCCATTTATTATAACTAGAGGGCGCATAATTAAAATAATCTACAAGTGGCAATGCAACTTCATTGTGGTATTTATACAAACCGAGTGAGTGAGCGAGCGAGCGAGAGAAAGAAAGAGAGAGAGAGAGAGAGAGAGAGAGAGAGAGCAGTATTTTGACAGTGAAAATCACCGAAATGTAGCCAAGCGCAAGAAGCTGTCAGTGAGAAATGCAAGAAGTGCTCATTTGTTGCGACGCCTGCCGTTTTCCACAATACTATATACACACACGGTGTATTCCAGTGTGTATTTCGCATCGGTCAGTCGGAGAGTTGGATTTTATGTGTATGCATGCAGAGTAAGCAAGCGTCATTTGTGTGTGGTGAAAAAAGTATATGTATTGAAAATCGATCGCTTTTTCCCCGTGCAAACAAAACGGTTGATGGAGAATCAACGAACTGAAATGGCCCAAAATGACTGCAACTCTCACACAAATTATTTTACGGGCTGAATTTTAAGCGCTGACTCGAACTGCTTCGCTCACTTTTTTTTTTCTTTTCCGAAAAATCACCAATTGATTGCACGCTTCATTTGAATGGAGATGTTTGACGAAACGAATGATTTCAATTGAGCATGTAACATTTATTTTTTTATTTTTGCCGGCACACACACACACACACGATTCGAAACATTGAAATGATGATTTATTTGAACCTGCTATCACTCAAGTCGTCTCGTTATTCATTTTTTTTTTATTGGTACTATTTACAATTGTAACTGTCTGCGCTGCATATATTAAATTTGCTTAAATTGAATGTCGAGCTGTTGTTGTGCAAATACTCTTGTTGAATGAATTCAAGTGTGGGAATATGCGTAGGGTTCAAAGGAAATGTCGTTTACTTCAAGTAAAATTCTAATGAAGGGAAAAAAATCCACAGTACATAAAGTGTATATGCTCATTGCTCAATGATGCTGCATTGATAATAATGTAATCACGCACTTGGTTCATTTTCGTCGTTTGATCAAATCTTGAGTGATTGAATCTTTAATTTGCATTCACTTGAATAATTATTATTTAAAGTAGGCTTTAATTGTGAATTATTCTTATTGGCCTAGGTCGAGATTTTATGTCGAATTGAAAATTTAAAAAAAAATGCGATAGACAATTTATCAGTCACGAAAGGGCAATGACTGCTGATAAGAAAAGGGGTGTGGTATATAAAAACAGGATACTCATATCGGTACATAGATAAGCGCGGATGCTACGAGATACATACAGAGGGAGAGAGAAATATAACAAGTGAAAACGAAAAAATTGAATTTTCTCTGTGATATTCTCTATTCACAAACGACACAGTCATTTGAACAATATTCGTTGTAGGAAACAGATTTTGATTGAAAACCAAAATAAGCCGGATGACGAATTTATTGAGCGGCTTTGTAAACATACACAATTACACACGCACACACAATGGATATTTGTTATCATTGGTCCTTGTATCAGTGACACTTTTGATTCTATTATTCATCATAGTTGATTCATTGAGGCTCACAGTCGAATTAATCAAAACGAATGAAATAAACGGAAATAGGCACTTTATACTCACCCGAAAGCGGTCCGGTTTTTGATTTTTCAAACAGGAGTTTTATATTCTTCTCAAAAGATCGGAAAATTATCCGTACGAATCAAGCACCAAAATGTCTACACTTCTCCCGTTCTCACTCTTTCTTGCTGGTTCGTTTCTTTATTTTCGTTACAATTTAATTACATTTAAATTGATGACAATGACCATAAGACACGATTCCCAATGTGCCACCACTGATCCATAGTGACAGAATTAAGTTAGTAATCAACAGTATTGCGATGGATGTGAGAAATATTGTACATTATTATCTTTATTAGTTTCTCTTTGTTTATATGGCGAATAATTGTTTCTGTTTCTGTTGTCCAGTGATTTTTTTTCTTCTTCTTTTCTCTTCTTAAATGTCCGCTCATTGATAAGAAGTTGAACCTTTGATACGGATTTTTTTTTCTGATTGCAATACTATCGGCCTGAATGAATCAGCCGCACACTAAGTTATTTTTTATTCAAAACAATGTTTTCATTCACACAATATAAAATATACTCTATTTATGGGTAATTAAAAACAGACTTTTTTGTCATCGTCGTCGTTTGCAGTTGTCTCAACGTGCAATTGATAACCACACTAAATGTTAATCATAAAACATGCACAAACACGAAAGTGTTCAGGGCTTTTGCGATATACAAGATGAAAAAACCACACACATTAATTGATTGCTATACAGGTATACCTGAATTTACGAAGAAACAAATTTATATATATATTGTGCATACAATAGAGGATACACAAGCACAGCTCTTGGTCTCTTATGTTTTTAATTCTTGTTGTCACTGCGATTGGAGAAAATCGGCTTTTGTTTTTTTCCATTAAGAAACGGGAAAAAAAAACACCATACCACACAAAATCTTGGGCAGCCTGTGTCCAAAACGGCAAACAAGTGCGAATAACACAAACAATGCGATATCTCGCCCGTCTGTATAAGTGCGAACACAACCACTTTCGCTAATTCCTTTTGTTTGCTTTACTTCTATTTGATTTTTATTTTATTGAGTAGCAAGTGGGCGATAAATGCATACACAACACCTAACAAGATCTCTTGTTTTTTTTTCTGTCTTCGTCGTGTTTTTGCACACACAAACACATTCCCTTCACCACAGATTATATTCGCTTTGCTATGCTATCTCTTTCGTCACTTGAACAATGTAAATGAAACAAGAAAATCCGTGTCAATTTCGATTGATATAAATGAAAAAATGCTAAAAATATGTTCTATCCGTAATTGTGCGTGTCTACGATGATTTTATGGGTTTTTCGAATGGTCGCGTCCACGAATTTTCATTTCGTTTTCCAGTCCAATCTGCCCGTTTTTCGCCAAATCAAGTAAAGGCGTTTTGTTTTACTCACTCCTTTTCTGCTCACTACTAGCATTTCACAATAATAATAATAATAATAATAATGACAACAACTACAACAACAGTCTAAACATGGCTGGCTTTCATTGCATTCATTTGAGATCTGCCTGGCAGCGGTACAACTTCACATTGCATTTACAAGTGAAATTCGTACGAAGATTAAATGTCGATGCCGCTAGAGAACGCTACCAGTTCAATATTCACCGACACAACACACACACACACAAGAAGTGAGTATTCGAACGATTTTTGAAATGACACTTGGCGCTGTAGTCGTGTGAAACTGGTCAAAAAGAAATTTCGTTGGTGAACGATCATCAACACACAGTTGTCACAACAAGAAACACACAGAGTGAAATGAGAAAACCGAGTGTATAGACAGTGTAACGCATTTTATGTTGTTGTTTTCTCTTTTCTCAAGTGCAAATCAAGTTGATATCGTTTTATCGCACTGTTTGAATGTAAACGATTGTAAACAAATAACATCGGCATTATGTCGAATAAATTCAATGGTTTTACTGTGGATGAAATTCACAAAATCAGTTCAAAATCCGAACAGGGTAATCATTTTATTTTGGCGTGTGTTGTTTTCTTTTTTATCGCGTTCTCTTTCTATCTTTTCCCACTTATTTGTCTATCTATGTCGTGCTCCCATGTTTTTTTTTTTTATTGTTGTTGTTGCGTAGAAATAGAGTAAAATAAAAGTGTGTAAAGATTTTAATTTGATTGTTTCAGTTAAGCGACCAAATGGAGGTGGAACTGTACGTAAACATACGATAAAAAAGCTGAATGGTGACACCAAAACTGCCGATCGAATTGCCAGAAGTGATATCAATCAAAATAATGCATCTGAAGATGCTACGTCAGCAAATGACACATCGAATCTATCCGAGTCAACGATTCAGGCTCTACAAGATGCACTGCATTACAAACCCCTATCGCAAACAACGCGTGGCACAAATGATGCCCAACAAGTCAGTCCAATCGATGCTACAACTGTATATGATCACCGAACACAAATTGCCGCCGAAAATAATAAAAATAACAATAATGTGAGCAAAAGCAATGACACCAATATAGATGATCCCTCACTGTTCCAAGGAATCTCACTGAAGGACTTTGAAAAACACCACAAACTAATGAAAGAAGCCAATCTAGAGAAACGAAGACTCCTCAGTAATGCAATCGAACAACGGTAACTGTATTTTCCAACTTTTTAATGAAGAAACGAAGAAAAAGAAACAAAACAATGTGGCAATTAATTTAATGGGGTTTTGTTTTCTTGTTGCCTCTCTTTTACTTTTCAGTTTTGAACAGTCTATTGCCGAAGCAACAAAAATTGCCAAGATTCGTGAAGAACTTGATAAACTGGATCAGGAGCTAGCAGCCGATGTTGAAATTCTTCGCAAAGAAATTGAAGCCGTCACGCTACAATATACGGCAACAAGGTAAAATATTTTGATTAAATTAGTCATTCAGTCTAGCGGCCGTCATTATTATTAATTTACGTAAACTGGTTTCAAATTTAAATTTCGATTCTATTCACAGAGAAAACTATCATCAAATTGAGTCACAGTTTTTAGCAGCAAAGCTAAATTTACATCAAATTTCGGAGAAAAAGGAAATGCTAACAGAGCATTTGTGCACAATTATTTCGCATAATGAGGATCGCAAAGCGAAAAAGCTAACGGAACTCCTAGACAAGGTTGGCCTAAATTCTGGCATCGATTTTAGTATTCATAACAACACAAATTGAAATGTGCAACAAGTGCTTCCTAAAATCTAACGATTTAATCTTTTCTATTCTTTGCTCAACTCTCGACGAAGGCGGCAAAACTGACACTATTTAAATTCCAACGAATTGTAGTTAATTTAATAGCAATAACCAAATACATATCGGTCAGCGTTTAATAATACAATTTCAAATACATATACATATATATATATAATTTTTTTTTTTTTTAAAAGGTCGATTCGAAAATCCTCATTTTAATGTTTAATAATAATGATCGAATAAAAATCTCTCAATTCACTTCTAACGGTTCAATGTTGAGTTCTTTACGTAATTCATCGATCTTCTGGTCCCATCGTTTCTCCCAGTAAACATTCATAAGTGGTTTCAAGTGTTTGCTGTTGTTCAGGGCCCATGGCAGATAGTGTTGACGGTAATTCTCACGTTGTCTGCAGGAATCAGAGAAGAAGAAACAAAGAAGAAACAAATATTTGAATAGTATATTAGACGGGAAAAGATGAAGTTCGGCGAAATGTCGAAAAAAGGAAGATAAAACTGGAACAATAAACGAGAAAGACAGAAACGATGATCAATCTGGTTCGTTCTGACATATATGTGCATGTGCATGGATATGAAAACGTTTTTCTTTTTATTGCCGATCATAATCGTAAATCAACATTATGCAAAGAGCTAGGTAAGAATTTAAACTAAGTAGAATGAATGAGAAATGGAAAGACAAAGAGGAGAATGTAATAACAAAGCAACCGAAAGAAGGGGCTTTTGGAATTTCGCGATTCTCGTAATGTATTTTGTGTATATATGTATAATTAATTGAGATGAAGACGGCTGCGATCGCCAACAATGTGAACGTGATGCTTTCGACAGAAGACAGTTGTCGGCCTCGGTATGATACCGAATCGCATTATGACGTTGAACGACAAATGAAGAAGAGGAAAAAGAACAACGATTGCTTAGCACGACATAAATTGCAATGACTTACTGGATATTTTGAATGGAAAAATATGTTGATTGAGTTAGAAAGAGTGAAGCGAGAGAATTACTTACTTTGGTCGCAAGCGCATCGCACCAAACACTGCACCGCCATAGCACATGGGCAAACCGATGTTTATCGCTTCAATCCACTTAACTGTAACCTCACCGAGCATGTTCGTCGGCATTCCAAGAACTGTATGAATAAGGTCATGGCACTCACGATACCGTGTCATCACATACATGAGTTCGGGATCATTTAGAAATTTGACGGGCATACGTGAATCGGGTGTGACATTCTGCTTAAACATAAAATAAATATTTGTTCAAATTAGCCATGCTCTTGCTTGATGCCGCTAGTTAAAACGACTGAATAAAGAAATGATGATCATACTACTGACATTGTCATCAAGGAATTTTTTGTAGGCGTAACCAAATGTGTCGGTGGGTAGTCTTCCGAGTGCATTCAAGTCGATAATTTCAGAATTGATTCGTGGCCTCTCCGCAAGTATTTGGCTGCCTTCCGGTGAAACTTTCATTAATTGCAATGTTTTTTGCAACACTTCAATACCGGTTGTTTCACCCAAGCAAGCAATCATATCATGCCTAATAGAATATACAAAAAAAAAAAAATACGCCGGATGAGATCACTTTAAAATACAAGCTCTAACACATGAATCAATGGCATTAAAGTAACTAGAAGTGACGAAACAAAGTATCAAGGTTCAAGGCTGTCAAAAACAATATGATTCAAGAAAACAGGTTTTTTTTTTCTTCGTCAGACAAGAATAAAAAATCATTGCCTTATTATATGCGCGATTCAGATATAACTGTGTTGTGTGTATGATAAAATTTGCTTCGTCACCAAGAGCACCAACAACAACATAATCCAATTATGCGATTATATGAAAATATTAATATAATAAATTAGACAGCTGTTTACCGATGAGGGTTAACCAAAGCAGCCACTGATGATCCAACGCTCAAAATTAGTCGCTGAAAATTCGATATGTGAATGTAATCGTGTTGGGGTTCGCCAATTTTATGCTCATTACTTCCGTTCTGAATGTCAACAGTCTCAGGAAACTGATTAACGCTTCTATGGATATCGGTTTTGTTTTTCATCGCGCTAGATGTAATCAATTGCCGTACTTTATTTATGCCAAAAACTCTCGGGCATAACAACTGACGACGTATCATCGTGTATTGAGTTTTAATTAAGTAGTTTTCAAGCTGCAAAAAGATCAGAGGAGAAGAAGAAGAAAAAAGTACATAATAAGACTTTGTTTTGACCTCAAATTCAAACAGATTTTTCCGTTCGTATCCGGCCCAAGGGATTTACATTCCATTGTTGTCAAGATAAGAACCCAAAAGAGATGAATTTTAATGAAATGGCCGCAAGTATGTGGCATTATAATTTGTCCGTTTTTTTTTTTTTTTTTTTGGCTGAATACGAAATAATTGAAAGTCAAAAGTATCACACAACTCATTTCGACTGTGTCCATATTGCTTTTGTTTATTCAAACGGTTCATTTGTTCTAAATTAATTTACTTCTCTTATGATCTATGCATTTGATTGTTTTTCTGTGCGAAAAACAACTGGTAAACATGAACGAAATACAATGGTAAATGTATGTATGCATAAATGGAGAGCGACAAAAAATGTATGTACATTTACTAACAAATAGTAGTTTATTGATAATTCATCGCTCGAAAAAGCCCTAGTTTGGTTTGGAATTACGGTTAAATTATTATCATATAAATATTTTTTTTCTTTGTTGTTCTAAATAATTTCACCTGTGTTTATACAAGTTGAATGAAAAAGAAAACAACTAGAACAGATAAGTCCAATTTGCGATGCATATCACCGTTCGATAGCAATGTTAATTGGCCTGTTTGTCACTTATCACACAAGGAAATTTGACTCCATACTGCAATCGGTTGAATGGTGGATTTTTATTATGTTTTTTTTTCTAATGCGATCACAAATGGTTGCTGGCTTTAAATGAGCTTGGAATTCACTATGTAAGTCTCATTTTCATTCGATGAAGTTGAAATTCTGCGCAAATTTTAATAAGTTTTTTTTTTTTTGGAAATGTTCTCACGAACCACAAGCTCAAGCTCATAGCGATAAGATAGTATTTCATAGTAATACGTGGCTCATTTTTTCTGTGATTTCCTCTTCACATTAAAATCATATAGTCTCTTAAATACAAAATTTCAATAACAATGGCATCATAGAACATGTCAATTCCCTCGATTCACATTTTTCTATATAACATAAAAGTGTTTTGTTCCATTTTATCTACACAACTTCGTGCAATCGTTACCGATATAGAACCTACTTAGATAATGAAATTTTATAAATAATTTACATGACGCTTTGGCATATTTTACTCTTATTCGATTCTCTTCTTTACTCTAATCGTTTGTTTGTTAAATCTATAGATGAACAGAAAAAAGAAACAAACAACGTACATACATATATACTATTTGAATATTGGGCCATAATAAATGGTACACATCAAGGCAATGCTAAGTGAAATTTCGACGAAAAATGCTTTCGTCGTTGTTTAGACCTATGTTTTGCACTTTGTTAGTGTTTTTTTTTACACGAAATGCATGACGGTTTCAAGGTTATTGGCAGCATATTGATGTGACGACCATAGCCAGTGCTATACGTTGTCGATATTTTTTGCTGGTATCACTTTGCGTGGTGTTTCTTTTTTGCCAAACGTTATGTATGTGTACAGTAAACTTCCCAACACACTGATATTAATACCAATGAAGTTTAGCCACGAGAATTTATAGTCGTCACCGATAAACATTCCCAAATAGGTAACGCAAATATTTTTGAGACAACCGATGATCGTGGTGGTTAAGGCTGAATTAAATTGTGTACACAATAAAATACTGTACGATAGCACAAAGCCCATGACACAGCTCATGAAAAATTGCACAAAGAATAATGGATTTGTCCAGTGTTCATAATTGAAAGCCGCATCAAAATCACCAAGTACCCATGCACCGATTATGGCTGGCATCAGCATTATCACCGAATTATAAAACATAATCCCGTTTTTTCCGATATCGTTTGTATCCAATTTTTTCTTCAGGAGTACTCCATTCGCGGCCGTTAGAACATTGGTTATCATCACGTATGTGTAGCCATGTAAACTGAATGTTAAATCATCACTGGCCGCTAATAGTGCACCGCCAACCATACACCAAACGCTAAATTGCACTGGCTTCGATGGACGGACGCTTAGAATTTTGAATTCAAGCATCATGGTCATCAGAATTGAAAATCGACGAATTGCTGTGAACATTGGCAAAGGTAGTGCTTGTGTGCCGCCCAGGCCAAACATCATATTTCCAAAAAACATCAATGGCAATGGAAACAATTTTTTTGGTATGTCTTTTGAAAAATCGGCATATGTAATGACACCACATTGCTTGAGCATCGCCTGAAAGTGAAAAAAATGAATCGTTGACGTGAGAAAAAAACAACAACAACAACAACAACAAACATTCAATATATTCGGTCGTTTGAAATCACTCACCAATATCACAATGCCAGCAACCATTTGTCCGATGCTGAGTGCCAAAAATGACGGAAACTTCCATGATGTTAACACCGTTTTGTTTACAACTGTGATAAGAAACGAGGCAACGCCATAAAAGAGCGCACTTCCGACTTTTTTCATATATAATGCTCTAGAGTTGATTGCATTCGATGCACTTGTTGCGGAATCGGCTTCCAACAGTTTACACTCTGCCGAATAAGTCATCTTTTTTCCCTTTGTAATCGGACGACGTTGACAAAAAAAAAAAAAAAAAAACTGAACGAAATCGGTCACTTTAAATCAAATGACCGAATTAATTTATGCGCGTTATAGTGAATTTAACTCTTGTTGTTGTTCATATGCAAAAGAATCTGAATTTTATTTGACTTATATTGGGCACGTTCATAATAATTATTACACACAAAGTTCATCACTGGAATTTTTGTGTGAAGACGAAAAAAGCTAGCGCGCAACACGAACACATCACATTTTTCTTTTGTTTTTTGTTTGTTTCTGTATTGATTGTTAGTATACGGTAATTCACTGTTTGTACGATTTAAAAATGACACACAGCCTAGACGCGTTGTACCCGCAACCGTCGAAAGACATAGTCTAAGCTAAATAAAGTAAAGTCTTTCTCACTGACGTGATAAGACGTGGCCATCTTGATTTTGTTTAATTTTCAGTTCATCTCTTGCTCATTCTTTCTCGGTTCGCTATTGTGTTTTGATTTGTCGGCAATAACACCAACATGTGAATCACTTGAATGATACACAAGCAAATTGACAGATCTCTATTGTGTAATAATCCTTCGTTTTAACATCGGTATTTTGTTTGTTCAGTACTTTTGTTTTTCGTATTCAGCCAAATGCCCGTCGGCTTGCTTTAAACTTATCTTAAATTATGCTAGTTTTTTGTTTTGTTTATACGGACCTGTTGGAGTCAGGCGAATTATTTCCAAAGGTCTAAATCGGTTTTTCTTGCAACGCGAAGAAGACACACAATCGCTGTAATTTCTGTGTATATTCTGCATTCACAATGTCAATGTTTCTTTTTCGCTTTTTCGTATGTTTCGGTGTGTCAAAATGCCGTCACAATTCGCACACGAGCTGTCAATTCGAATTCAGTTGTACTCTGAGCAACACCAGGCTTTAGAACTGACATCGTTCTAGTGTTGCCATCGACATAGCAACACATAGAGTAAATACGGTTTATTTTGTTAAAATTGAAAGAATTTTTTTTTAATTGGATATTTCGAACTCAATTCAAGATTATTCGTTGCAAACAAAATGATAAAAGGTCTACAGGCACAAATCAATGTGATAAGTTTTTCATTGTCATGTGAATAACTTTGAATCATCGAAAAATGCTCTCTTGTCTGTATGTTGCCGTTATATAAATGCATTCTTGAATGTGCGGTTACATTTCAAAATGTTTTCTATGTTTGGCCTGACATTTTATAATTATTGGTCTTCTTTATTCAGTAAGTCCCAATAAACCTTGTCAAAATGTATGACGGTATCATATGCTTGACTTTAGCACAATCAACTACAATCTATGTCAAGAAACCGATAAATAATGACAACATCATATTCTTTTTATGTGAGACATCAAAACAGCAATTTCGTTTCCATTAATCGTGCACGTCTTTTGAAAATTCATTTGAAATATTATTTTTGGCGTAAACGCAAAAAAATAAATAAGAGAAATATATTTAATCAACGAAGCGACAGGAAATAGGGCAATTTATGTAGTTGTGTTATTTCATTTTGGCTTGAGGTAAGTAAGTGAATATTAGCAACTGTCGAAACATCGGAACATGAAGGAAATGACTATTTCCTGGAAATCTTTTCCGTATCAACAACATCATATTCGAAAATTCAATACCGTTAACGGTATGACGGCGCAACCGTTCTGCCTTCAAGCCACTTCGAGCTCTCAAAATATTAATACAACTCATAGTTTCCACATTTGTTCCATCGTATTTTACTTTACAATATCATGTATTCTGAAGCCAACACTTCAAATTGTGTGCGTGTGTGCGCGCGTATGTATGTTTGTTTGCTGATAAACGTTCCCCCTGTACATATCATGCAAACAGATTCAAAGTGTCAAAAAGCAATATATTTCACATGCTTGACCAATGACCACACCTTGCAAATGTTTTGGTTAACTTGTTGCAAAAGAAGCGTACATTGATAGGGCGTACCGTACATCTATTCAGAAACGGTCAATCGAATGGGTTGACTGTTGGTCAGAACGGAATGTTGGACATGATAAATTTTTGATCACCTGTATTGCTCTTAGTTTGTCTTTCGGCCAAATTTCCAGCTATGTATAGCTGGTTTCCCAAACTATATAAATATGAAAATTATTTGTATACTGGTTTATAATGGAATTGCACAAAGTTGGCTTCAATATTGCTTTTGATGGAAATTTGATTCCGCATAATCAAATGTGGCACAACAAGAAAACATTTGGTACGATATGTATAAAAAGTTTACACTCGACAATTGCGGAAAAAAATGTAGCATGAAAAAGTCTAACAAAAACGAACTCTGATAAGTGTATTGATTGTATTCTTGTTGCCGTTCGAAATCTCAAATTGGTATCGAAACAAGTTGATTTTCCTTTGTTGTATTTCTGTGTAAAAGAAAAATACCTTCTAATCGCCCATATCCTTTGGTAGTGGTGTGTAACGGTTTCCATGCAAAGGCAATAGGCGAACGGATTGTAGGAATTTTCTCAAATTATGCGTTTGCAGAAAATTGCTTCGGTTGATTATTCTGAAACATAAAATAGTAATTGCTTCGCACCTCTGTTGATGACCTCCTAAATACTGCGATATAAGCAAACTTTTTCAACATTTATGGGCAGTATTTTTAGCACACAATTCATGGCAATTTTCCCGCAACAGATCTAGTATTACTTTCCGTCGTGTACAATATGCGTTTGCTTTCATAGCAGAAAATTAGTTATAGCTAGGCGCTATTGGTCCGAAGAGAATTCTAAATAAAGTGTGAGCATACCGCATTCGAAAGGAACAAAGGCCAAGCAACGGCTATGGTGATGATGATTGTCAATGGATGGAAATAAAATGATAATGAATACAACAATGGTGTTGCGAAAACCATGCAAATACTCTTGGATTCGGTCTCGGTGTGAAAATGCTTGTTGTTTGTGCGTATGTGTGAAAAGAGGGCAAAAAGATAAAACAAAAAGTTTTTGTGAATTGCCGTCGCTTTATTTTTTTAATTATGTATTAGCGTAAACATCATCATTTATGATAAGAATTGTACACCAAGTACTGTATGCATACACGGCCGCTCACATTCCGACTATTTGAGATCTCATTTCGTTTTATTATGCATGCGTTTGAGCTCAACAACAACAGCAGTTTTAGCCGTAATGAGAATATGTTGTTTGTGCAAGTCACTAGTCTTTGCTACGATGACGTAGTATTTATACATTTCATACATAGAATGGTTGCTTTGAAAACACCACAAAATCTCCATACCATTATTCCGTATCGGCAACTGACGATGATGTTCTGAGTTTCATTTTCATTCAATCTAACCATTTCTCACTTTCAGTGAGCTCTAGACTTAATCCTACTTCATTGTTAAAACTGTATACGTAATTATAGCCCGTGGCATGAAATTTAAATTCATTCACGGATATGCTCCCATCTGAGATTGGCAATCACATAATGAATATTGTATTGCGAGGAGGGAGAAAAAAAAAACGAACACAAATCATACATAGAATGTATGATTTTGCTATGAATTTTTCATCTCGATAATATGGGAGGCAATCATCAAACGGAAAGAATCTACGGATCTTCTTAAATTGGAGTTCCTGATAGATTATTTACATACGCGAACGAACTCCCCGATAAACACAATTGCAAACTACATTTCAACATTTTCGGAAACTATTTTCTCTCTCTTTCTCCATCTCGTTCACAACAAAAACATATCTTGGTCTCATCATCACTTATAAAATTGATAGCATCTGTGCTAGGACTTGGCTACAATTTAAAAAATGAATCTTGCATAATACAAGCTATGTGTTTACTCTTATCACTTCGGCGAATGGTGCAAACCGACACTTTCAACAGTTTTGAAATGCAGCGACGCCGTTTCTGAAGTGGATGAATAGAGTGCGGCTGTCACTTCTGAAGTGAATACGATTTCTTCGCATAACAGTTCTGTTAGAATTTTGGTGCATGCATTTATAATTTTTTTTTTTAAGCTCTTTCCTTCAAATGGCTAATGCTACCCAGCCGGGCATTTTTTTTTTGACATCTTGATGTATAAATGTGTGGTTGATAATAAAAATGGGAATAAAGAGAATAACTTGACCATTTCTATAAGTTTGCTGGAGATAACATTTCGTTATCTAATATAGTTTTTGCGGAAAATACGGAAAACCATATTCAAAATTTCAATTTTTCATGGTGCGTTTTTAGTGAAGCGACGATTCATGTTACGTTTTTAAGAAACAAATTTCATGTTGCGCTTCAGTTCAAACACTGCTGTATTCCCATTTCAGTTCTTAGAAACACAAATATGCCTCTATTTGGCACTTATAAATATTTGCTTGAATGATAACATAAGGTGGAATTAAAAATACACATTGCAATGAATAAGGCGATTTAGACCACAAAATTTGAACTGCTTCAATGCTGAAAAATAAAATTTGCCACAGATAAATGAAGTGGCGAGTGAAACGAATTCGCACCTATTCTGAGCTACTATTATTACGTTGGGCAACAAACGGCCTAAGGAATGTTTCAAACGTGTTAAGCTATTAATAGATCCGAACGTCTCTCAAGTTGAAAAGTGTCCAGCTGGAGTGCGTAAAGCTATCAATCTCTATCCAAAAAAAAAAGGTTCGAAGCATTTATTTGAATAAATTTTAAATGCTTATAGAAAAAATAATTGTTGTTTAATCGATATATTCTGATTTTCGCATATTCAATGTGCAATAATATAAATGTATTTGTGGAGAAAATGGAAGATTATGTTGGATTTGTTTTTCAATAACAGTTTTTCGCTGAGTGAAAGCTCACCGAAATAAAACGTATGTGGAAATGAGCAAGAGCGTGCATGTTCATTTATTTACATTATTCACTGCATTATTATAATGTTCACGGCTCTATCAATATAAATGCAAATGAGCAAGTGGCATATGAAAATAAACATATACATATACATATAAACATAAATATGCTTGATTTGATTTTTCGACAGTAAATAGGGCAGGCAGGATCTGCTCACCGTATATAATAATTAATGTTTCGGAAACAGTTACAATCCATTAAGTGATAGGTGATGGTCGCAAATTAATGAATATATTGCAATGTTTTCGTCCCCTGACACCGACAGTTATCGCATCACAATGTTGTACAGTGTACACATAAAAACTGTTCAGTTGTATGAGTTTGCTTGATCCTTGGCTGCGTTCGATTTTAAACACAAATAAGAATATGAACATAAACATCTAAAGACCCAACATAATTCCAAACAAAAAGTGTGCACAACAACAACAAATAAATGTATTCAAAATAATTTGATAAAAATGAAAAGTTTCAGTCCATTCAAATGCATTTGGTTTGCATACATGACTTTCCTGATAATTACTTTGTATAATTTCGCATAATTAAAACTGTAAATCTGTGTAATAAGATAGTTTAGTAGCTTTTAATTATAAAGAAATGAAAAGAAATTTCCGCTTAACTTGGGCTATTTAAATATGGTTTATGAGTGACTTTTCTTTCTTGTACTTGAACGAAGAATTCAACAAAATATTTACGCCGAAAAAAGAAATAAATGTAAATATCTTAATTTCGAAAGTGTATGAATTCACTATTGGAATTGCATCGCATCACCATTGGGCAAAAATGTTGCACTGTGTGTTTTTGTGGTTTTAAATAGATCCAAGTACATGCACCAAAATGTTTGGAAAAGTTAACGGACCGTACGTCTAACCAACAGAGAGCTGTTAGGCAACCGTACTTTTTGCAACAATCGAATTGGGTATTCAAATTTATAACTGAATGTGGTCAACCCAAGATTTCAGATATCCACACAAAAATACATCCA